AAGCTAAATATATTTTAAAAATTAGATTTTACGCTCAAAGCTGGGTTTGGTAGCACACATGCCTGTGATCCAGCACTTGGGATGCTGAAGCAGGAGGATCTCCAAAGTAAGTCCAGTTTGGGCTCTATAATAAGACTTTGTCTCAAGCCAAATCAAACCAAATAAAATTTTATAAAAGATTTTATGCTACAAGCTTTAAATTGTTACTAGTGAAAATAAGTCATAACTTGATTTGAGCAAAAACTATTCCAAACTGTTTTACCTAATGGTTCTAACATAACATGTATGTCAGGAGTTACTGCAATATCTAGTTATCAAAGTAAGTAGAATTTAAGAAACATAGACATGGGGTCCCATCTCAGAGCACTCCCAGTGGTCCCTAAGTGAAGCCTTTGGATTATATACCCTATGATTTTAGTATTTAACGATTACTAATACTCTGTTCTATCAAATGGATAAAATAGTATTTCTAAATTAGATTTATAGTCGTGGTGACATACCCTTGAATCTAGCTACTCATTTGAGCCCTAGGAGTTTGAGACCGGTCTGGGAAGTATAGAAAGATCCTGTCTGGATACGAAAATAAGGGCCTTTCTCAGCAACATATTTTTTTAAATACTGTCTAAAATAATAGCATTTTAAATGCCTTCACATACAAGTGACTTATTTTTGTCTTGGTCTGTTCAGGCTGCTATAACAAACATGCCATAAACTGAATTGCTTATACCTAAATAGACATTTCTCACAGTTCCGAGAAATCCAAGAGCAAGATGACACAGCACTTAGTAGCAGATAAGGATTGTCTGTGTTTACCTGGCAAAAGTGGTCAGACAGCTCTTGAGAGGGCTTTATACAAGAGCTCTACTTATTCCCAGAGCCTTCTATTCCTGTCACCCTTCAAAGGGCTTCACCTCTTAATACTTTACATTGGAAGTTAGCTGTCAGTTTGAACAGAGGGAGATAAACATTCAGACCATAACATATGTAAATATTGCCTAAAATATTCTATCAAATTATTTTTTTTCAATTAATGTTTTGGACTTAGGAGTTATTACTAGTTTTCTTGAGCTGATCATTTTAATTTAAAAAACTGAGGACGGGCTGATAAGGTGGCTCAGTGTTAGAGTGTTTGCCTTGCATGCATGAGGCCCTGGGTTCAATTCCTCATGCACCACATAAGCAGAAAAAGCTGGAAGTGGCGCTGTAGCTCAAGTGGTAGGATGCAAGCCTTGAGCTGAAGAGTTGAGGGACAGTGCCAAGGCCCCAGAGTTCAGGTCCCACTACCAAAAAAAAACCTTGAGAACATTGTTTGTGAAATATGAGACTGAACACCACATTGTAAAAATGACAATAGCCGAGGGATGCTTAAAGAGTATCATCTATAATGAATAACAGTAATTTTTGTTATTTATAATAATTACTATTTTACGAACAGCATTTTAAAAGCAGTTGTTATTTCTTGAAAGAAAAGTTCCAACTTGGGAAAGTATTTATTGATTAGGATGTATTTATTGATTAGGAGTGTATACCCTGCATAGTAGGTATGTATTTCTTCCCTTCCATTCCATCTGGTCTTAAGAGAAGAAACTGTATGTACACCTGATGTGTACATACTTGGTACACACTAGGGTGAGATTTGATGCTTAAAACTGGGAAGGTTAACTTTACAATGTATATATAGTTTAGTGAAAATAGCTTTTCTGATGTCTAATTCTTGTTTTCCTACTTTTTTCAGGAGGTAACAGTTAATTTCACCTATCTTCACGTAACAGTGCTTCAATAACAGACTTGGAAGGAAAGTGAGGTGTAACTAGAAAGAGGATGCTTCCTTATAAGCTTATAGATAAGAGATTATTTGTTTTTGGGCTTAGATATAAGCAATGACTTAGAGAAGGGCATTTAAGGTATAACAAGAATGCTTTGGTATATTATAAATTAAGGAACTGATGGTATGTAAATATAGCCATTACACTACTGTGTAGTGTGATTCCCTTTTGGGGGAAATGTAAATGTGTGGATGTTAGAAGAAGGGATGAATAGAATAAATTATCAAATGAAAAAAATGTCAGATTATTTTCTTTTTGATGAAAGCAGTAGTATAACAACTGCCAAAATTAGGAGAATAATGAGACAGCATTATCTTTGTTTGACAGTTGGTAAATGACTATAAAATTGATTCATTAAAAGCTATGTCTTAAAAATAACTTGTTTTATAAATCTAGTTTACTATTGAATCTGGATATAAATGTTGAACCTTCACTTGTCATGTGGGAAAATAATTGATTAATTTCATCCTTTATAGTAAATCAATCAGTTTCACTAATTGTCTAATATTGATAATCAGAATCTAACATATTAAAATTAAGAATCAAAACAAAAATTTCCACAATTATATATTAGTCTTCCTATAATTTAAAATGTTTTGTCATAATACTAACTTACATGTATTTATTTTCTGGGAAACGTTTATGTAAGTCTTTGTGTTATATAAGGTAAACTAAGTAAGAAAGTCTCAATGAATCTACTAGCTAAATTTTGAATATAATGTTTTATTAGAGACCTGATTATATAAAAGAGACTCTAATTATGCACAATAATATTTTATACTTTAAATTTTTCTAAAATTATTTAAAATTCCTAATTTGGGACTGAGAATGTGGCTCAGTGGTAGAGTGCTTGCCTTGCATGCATGAGGCCCTGGGTTCGATTCCTCAGCACCAGATAAACAGAAAAGGCCAGAAGTGGCACTGTGGCTCAGGTGATAGAGTGCTAGCCTTGAGCTGAAGAACTTAAGGGACAGCACCCAGGCCCAGAGTTCAGGCCCCACGACCAAAAAAAAAAAAACTCCTCTAACTTAGATTATTTTAACAAATATGATTCTCTAACTTTACTTTGTTAGAAACTGGACCCATTTTTCTTCCAGTGCACTGCTTTGGTACAAGTTACATATCTCATTCTGTTGGGACCTTTTTATGACTTTTAGTTGAGAAAATATTAAATTTGTGATATTAATTCTTAGTTGTTCTTTCTTCACATTTCTCCAATCTGATTACCTTCTTGGGTAACAATTTAAAATGTTTCATAGAAAATGACATGTACTTCAGCCAGGCATAAGTGGCTCACGCTTGTAATCCTAACTACTCGAGAGGCTGAGATCTGAGAATCACAGTGTGAAGCCAGCCATGGCAGAAAAGTCCTTGAGACTCTTATTTACAATAAACTACTCAGAAAAAGGCCAAAGTGGCATTGTGGCTCAAGTGGTAAAGCACTAGCCTTGAGCACAAAATGGTTCAATGATAGTACCCAAGTCCTGTGTTCAAACCCCAGGACCAGCAAAAAGAAGGAAGGAAGGAAAGAAGGGAGGGAAAGAGGGAAGGATGAAAGGAAATGACTTGTACTTCAATGTGCTATTTGTAAATACATTGTTATATAAATTAGACCAATTTATCATTTCATGACTAAGTTGAGTTAATTTTAGAACTAGGAATGGTAATTATTTTCCATATAGATCTAAAATGACTTATTTTTAGTTTCCATAGTAACTTTTTTCTCTACTTCAGTTATTTTCCTCTATAGTGCTTCTGCTTAGTAACTAATAAGTGCTTGGCTATATTCGTAGAGACTATTTCTACTTGATGTCAAAACAGCTCATAAAAAGTGAAAATCCAATCAAATTGATTACTTAAGGCTATATAAAATCAAAATAAAACCTACAACAATTTTAACTTACAAAAAAATATGCTAAATTTCACTTTAAATAAAGTTTATCCAAAACATGTAGAAGATATGAATTAGTATAAAACCTTGACTAAGTTGATGCTAGAAAACTCAAGATTAATAGTTTCCATTTTTATTTTAAGCCATCCATTCTTCCCTGTTTTACATCTGTTTGTTTGTACACCCTTTAGTTTAACATTGTTTTCCTCCTCAATTTGGATAGACTGATCTTTAAATGAAGAAATACTGAGGAAAAACACTTACCCAAGAATTGTCATTTAATAAGTAAATAAGCTATTGTGATCTTCTAATCAAGCCTATGAAAATTAAAAGATTTATACATTATAAGATGAACACTAGCCGGGCTCTGGTAGCTCATGCCTGTAATCCCAGCTACTCAGGAGGCTGAGATCTGAGGATCGGAGTTCAAAGCCAGCCCGGGCAGGAGAGACCATGAGACTCCTATCTCCAATAAACCACCAGAAAACCGGAAGTGGCGCTGTAGCTCAAGTGGTAGAGCGCTCGCTTTGAGCTGAAGAGCTGAGGGACAGCGCCCAGGCCCAGAGTTCAAGCCCCACGACCAACCAAAAAAAAAAAAAAAAGATGAACACTATTTATTAAGCTATAGCTTTAGCCTGTGATCCTAGGTGGTGATTGTGGAGTTCATAAGACTCATAAACAATACAGAACTTTGTGGTACACACCTGTTATCCCAGTAGTTAAGGGAAGCACTTGTAAGGAGGAGCTAGTCCAGGCAGCCTGAGCATAAAGTAAGACCCTATCTTGAAAATAATTAAGGGTTGGTGGAGTGACTCAAGTGGTAGAGCACCTGCTGAACAAGTACAAGGCCTTGAGTTTAACTCCTAATACCACAACCAAAAAAAAAAAGCCTTCTTTCTTGGCCATATTTCAGATGAACATTATACATTAGTATATTTTAACAATTTAAAATGGGAGTACAGTGACCTAGAATGCTGTCTTAACCATTCCAGTTAGTCTGGGTTTTACTGTGTGTTAATATTTAGATCTGGTTTAATTCAGCAATATTTATTGCACCTTCTTTTTCACTTTTTAAACTATGCTGTTTTATTTTTCCAAAGGAAAAATGGAAATGAAGTACAGAGCCTGTTTATATGAAGGCTCTATAGGTGCATGAGTTTCCATTTTTGTTTTTAAGCTATTCATTCCTCCCTGTCTTATGTCTGTTCCTTTGTTGTGCCCTTTGGTTTAACATTGTTCTCCTCCCCAATTTTCCTCTTCTCCTCATTGTAAACTCATGGCAGGGTCTGCTTGGTGAGCTCATTCTCTTACAACAGCAAATTCAAGAGCATGAAGAAGAAGCACGCAGAACCGCTGGCCAGTATAGCACGAGCTATGCCCAACAGAAGCGCAAGGTGATGGATGGTTAAGGGGGCTACTGATGTGTTCACACTAATCAGCCATTTCTGCCAAGATGTGTCACCTTATTCCATTCATAGGCTCCAATTATGAGAAATGGTTTTTAACAAAGTAAATATAAAACAGATAAGTTATATAGATATGGAAATTTTCTGAAAGAGAGTAATATCACAGAGCTCAAAGTATAAGCTCAAGTATAGGAATTTAGTCATTGGTAAAGGCCCATGGATTATTATTTAGAATAAAATTAGGGACTGTTGGTTATATGGTTCAGTTATTGAGTTGCCCACATACTTGGTTATTGGTGTAATTAAAAATGTCTTTTGACTGTTTAGTAATACCACATTATAGATTTCTCAGTTCATATCTGAATTGACTTTTAGATCAAAGTGAAATCAGTGTAGACATGATACAGTTACAGACCGAGATCTTAAAAGTGAGCTGATTTTTACATAATTAGAAAAGTTTTTAAGTTATATACAACCTTCATTTAAAAGATTCAGCCATATAGTTAGATTTTACTATCTAAATCAGCCAATATTATAAATAATGACTTACTATAATTCTTCTGACTACCCTTATCTGTTTGGTGATGGTAAATACCTGAATAATATCATTCCTTTTCTTTCTTTCTTTCTTTCTTTCTTTCTTTCTTTCATTGTGACTTCCTGGCTGTGTGATTAATCCCTGTATTTTGTTTAGCTTTCAATGAATGACATAGAAAATATTCTTTTTCTATTTGTTTGAAGTAGATGTGTTAAACCAAGAAAGGACTTACTTTTGAGTGGTACTTTTAACATTTTCTGTTTTCCATGCTATGAATGTGCCATTTAAATAATAAATTGGATGCTTTGACCCCTTTCCATATTTGTTTCGTTAAAGAAAAAAGGGAGAAGAATCAATACGTCATGTTATGCTGCTTAACAATATGAGTATAGCTCTACTTACAAGTTGTTCTAAAGAGTTTTCACATAATGATGAAATTGAAATGAATGTCATCTTCCTGTCACTTAAAAATTCTAAGATACAGTGTAAAATTTGCAATGTGCCTTTGAATCTGAGGATTCAGAGGATGTTGCTAATGAATACTTACTCATTTTCTACATTGACAAAGATTTAAATCATTTTACTAGACTTAATTCAGATTTAGATATTCCCATTTCCACCATTCATTAGGGGTCCATTTAATTCTTCTGAATCTCTCCCCATTTGTAAAATAGAGTGTGGCAGGACTGTACCATTGTCTGTTGTGGTTATCAAGATATACTTACTGGAGCACTAATGAGTCTTGCTCCTTCCCTCTTTGTAGTTACTTATGCAAAAACAAAAACATTTTTCTCCACAATCAGACTATTTCCTGCTACTGAGAAGCCAGTTCCTAAGTGTATCCTTCCTCCTCCTGGAGCATTCTAAGATGACTGTGGGCTCTTCACTGTTACGATCAAAATACTCTTGTGTATCTGTTTTTTTAATCATTCCAGGCATTTGAGGTTTACTTATGGCTCAAAACAAATCCCAGGTATTTTTTGTTTCTCCATTACCTTCATGAAAATATGTTGGTTTTTACATTTTGATAGAAGCAATAGATTTTGCCTATGTTATCTGAATCAAAAGCAGAAGCTTAAAATTGCCATTGGTAATTTTGCCTCCTAAGAAGACACGCGCGCACACACACACAAGCACTCACGTACACATTATGCACGCACACACACACACATATGACTCTCCTATATACGTATGACAACAGGGGCGTACAGGAGAAATATTTAAATTTTTAGAGTCAGTCTAGTAAAGGCTTTTTTCTTTCAGCTTTAGCTTGTTTCTGCAGAGGGTTCCACATTTTCTCCATCAATTTCACAGCCCTGGAATTGTTCAAAACCTCTGGTTTCCAGACTGTTGATCTCATTTCTGTCAGGGTGAGTTTAAAATTACTTTCATAATGAAAACAAAATACATTAAACAAGAGGGCACAGGTTCCTTCTTGCAAGAGGCTCTAAAGTGATGTGTAAAGGACATCTAGAATACCCATGTTGTTGTTTGGACCTAGAGTTAGTGGCAGAGTGAAAAGAACTTGTGATCTCTCTTTTTTTTTTTGTTTTGTGTTTTTGTTTTTTGGTCGGTCGTGGGGCTTGAACTCTGGGCCTGAGTGCTGTCCCTCAGCTCTTCAGCTCAAGACGAGCGCTCTATCACTTGAGCTACAGCACCACTTCTGGTTTTATAAGAGTTTTACAAACTTTCCTGCCCGGGCTGGCTTTGAACCGTGATCCTCAGATCTCAGCCTCCTGAGTAGCTAGGATTACAGGCGTAAGCCACTGGTGCCCAGCTGTGATCTTCTCTTAAGAAAACATACCAACAAAAAAAAAAAAAGAAAAAAAGAAAACATACCAACAGATCTTTTCATCTATTGTCAGTACTCATTTTATAAAACTAAAAGTTTTTCCTAGCAAATGTAATTAGATGAGCTGGGCACTGGTGGCCCATACCTGTAATCCAGCTATTCAGTGGCTGAGATCTGAAGATCACAGTTCAGTTAGCCTGGGCAAGAAAATTTGTGAGGTTCTTATTTCCAGTTTAGCAGCAAAAATCCAAAAATGGAGCTGTGGCTCAAGTGACAGAGCACCAACCTTGAATAAAATAACTAAAGAACACTAACAGCCCTGAGTTCAAGCTCCAATACTGATGCACACACACACACACACACACACACACACACACACACACACACACACATTCTCTCTCAAGTATAACTTGTTTCCCCTACCATTACCTGTCCTTTAGTGTAACATTAATTTTGATGTTCCATTCAATTGAGCAGATAAAAAGTGTGTCTTCAAACTGTAGGAGTTATTCTTTATGATTGTGCCAAAAGAGCAATTGACTTAATACTTGAAAAATCCAAATTTATTAGAATCTTAATCGTTGTAGCTACTAAATACTAATCTGTCAAGATTGTATTTTAGTAGTTGATAACCTTACGTCATCTTAACTTTTATAAAACCTTTTTATCAGATTACTAATTAACCTTTTATAGCTTTTATTAGTTTCTTAATTTCTACCCAAAATGTTACTGGTGTTGGAGTTTTCTATAGTAATTTAGGATATATTGCATAAAATCATTAAATGTTGCTGATGTGACGTACATTCAAAACTAAAGCAGTTGAAACTAATTCTTGTTACATGTTTTATATTGATTTAGCCACAGTTGGATGAATATTTAGTGGAACAAAATACATCAGAATGCCTTTTAGAATGGACTGGAGTTTATTCTGTACAGCAGAGTTTCTTGACCACACAGAATGGTGACATGGCACATGATCATTTATTTCTTCATGGGCCTTCTAAATTTTGTTCTGCTGGTGTTGGCTCCTTCTCATCTTGCTTATTTCCTCACAGCTTACGAGACTTAATAATTCTTGTTCATTGAACTTAAGCACACATAGTCAAAATGAAAAAGTCATTGGCAGGTCTCTGCTTGCTATACATGGATGGCAAATGGAAGTTTGTTACATGTGTTTTCTCATTACCAAATCATTTTGAGTTATTTTTCAGGCATAGATGTATAAGAAGAAAATAATTACGCCTATCATTTCTAGCAAGTATTTTCATCTATTTAAATAAAAGTTTGCAGAAAGTTTTGAAAAAGAAGTAAGACTTAAAATCTTAAAATTATTATAACATGGACAAGACTTGTTAATGTCTACCTCACTATAGAAATCATCAAAATACATATATATATATGTTTTACTACCCTATCTTAATTTAAATAGCCAAATTTAAACACCCAAAGACTTCAACATGAAAGAATATGAATTCAACTCAGTTTTTCTGCTATGAAATAAATTTGTATTTACAAATTTTGATTTTCAGAAATCAGACAATTTTGGAGGCTAAGAAAGATAACTATGTATTATTAAGAAGTCAATGCATAGTTATGTGGATTTGTTATAAGGACATATTTTTATTAGAATCTTTGTATTTTGTGTTTAGAATTGTATTATGACTACTTTAAAACTAGTTAAACAGTACAGTTCCTTGAAGTTCTTTTTTTTTGTTGGGGGGGCGTCCGGTCGTGGGACCTGAACTCTGGGCCTGAGTGCTGTCCCTCAGCTCTTCAACTCAAGGCCAGTGCTCTACCACTTGAGCCACAGCACCACTTCCGGCTTTTTTCTTTTTGCTTATGTGGTGCTGAGGAATCAAACCCAGGGCCTCAGGCATGCACAGCAAGTGCTCTGCCACTGAGCCACCTTCCCAGCCCTTGAAGTTCTTTTTTTTTATGCTTTATCTTAGAACTATATTATAAGCAACAATTTGAAGTAGTTTACTCAATACATTTGGATTAGCTTCTGTTTTATGTTCAAATACATTTCAGTTGCCCTAGTTGATTTAATTTCTTCTTTTTTTGGGGGGGGGGGTGTCTGGTCGTGGGGCCTGAACTCTGGGCCTGGGCGCTGTCCCTCAGCTCTTCAGCTCAAGGCTAGCACTCTACCACTTGAACTACAGCGCCACTTCCAGCTTTTTTCTTTTTGCTTATGTGGTGCTGAGGAATCGAACCCAGGGCCTCAGGCATGCAAGGCAAGCGCTTTACCACTGAGCCACCTTCCCAGCCCTTGATTTAATTTCTATAGATATATTCCCTATATAATGAGCTAGCAGGTCTTGCATGGGAATTTAACAATAATCTGGCTTCATGTAGTGCTGTGAAAATACAAATTGTTCTTTACATTTATTATGCACTTCCCTATTTAAAAGTACAGATGTGTTACTGCTCCTTGAAAGACACCATAAGACCAATGAGCTCTCAGTAGCTATATACACAGCGATACATATCAGCTGTCCAAAATAAAATTTCTGGAGAGTTGTCGGTGCTTTCTTTTGCCAGATAACTAAGTCCCTGTGCTTTAAACACAAAACAGCCTCATAAGAAAATAGTGACCATATGTACTCATCTCTTATTTTTCCAGCAAGCCTTTCAGAACAAGTGGCTGAAGTAGCAAAATGATTCCTTTTTAAAGGTTTTTACTTTGTAATATAAGGCTTTGATTAACTTTATTGATGAATGCAGTATTTTCTTTAAGAACCACATGACTTAAAATTTGTTTTCATTAAAAACATAAAAAGCCCAGTAGTTTTTTTTTACTCTAGTACTTCTTTCCAAATCTAACTTACTGTATATTCCAAATAAATTCTAACATTATAAATTCTAACTTAATCTAATTCTCAACTAAAATGACTTTCTTTTAAATACTTAGGTGTCAGACAAAGAAAAAATTGACCAACTTCAAGAAGAACTTCTGCATACGCAGGTAATTCTAATAAAAAAAAAAAACAAAAAACCAAGGACATTTTCTTATTGTAGTCTAATGTAAGTGAGATGATGTAGATAAAACTTCCTTCAGCAAAGAAAAAATCTTGTTGATGTGGTGAAATTATAATGAATTTCATTCTTTAGGTCAGATTATTTTTTCAATATCATAGGTATAATAATTTGTTGTAAAGAGTCAATGTAATTTCAGAATTTGGGAAGATTTAATTTATAATTAGTATTCATTTGTTAACTTGTCTTATATAGTTGTATATATTACTTTTTTGCAGTTAAAGTATCAGAGAATCTTGGAACGTTTAGAAAAGGAGAACAAAGAATTGAGAAAATTAGTATTGCAAAAAGACGACAAAGGCATTCATCATAGAAAGCTAAAGGTATTTAATTTGCTAATTCATAGAACTTTTAATGCTTTACATTGTGTTCATTGATGCAGGTTTTTAAGAATTAAAAGTTTGTTTTTAATTCTTTTTCCACCCTATGCTAACATTTCACAAATTATAATCTCCCAAGGTTTATCTTATCCTATGCTCATTAAAAATCTTTATATTTAAAGAGTATTTTCTGGAGTATCAATTTATTTTACTGAAATACTGAAGTTTATCTTTTTATATTCATCGTCTTCTGTTTGCATTTTATACTAGTCTTATCAGTATTAATTACTACCTTTGTTAATACTGAGTTAATGGACTTCTTTAAATCAGTATATTTAAAATGAAATAAACTGGAAAAGAAATGGATTTTTTTGGTAATATTTCAGCTTTTAAATATGAATTTATGTATTTAGAAAAAGTATGATGGGCATGGGAAACAACTTGAATTTCTTTACTTATTCTGCAGTATTTTTTCCTTGAGTTTTCATTGTTTTATATATGTTTTTAATTTTTTACAGAAATCTCTGATTGACATGTATTCTGAAGTTCTCGATGTTCTTTCTGATTATGATGCTAGTTATAATACACAAGATCATTTACCACGGGTAAGGAAAGAAGTACCTTCGTGTGTGCATGCATGGGTACAGATACGTACCTTTTTTTGATGCTAAGAACAGAGCAATTGCTCAAACTATATAGTTTTATTCATATGTTCCAGGTAATAATTTATACACTAGATGTTGTGTGCATTTACATACAAGTATCAGTTACTTACATTGTTGTCTTATGAAAAGACTATTAGATATTTTGTATTTTAATTCTCTTTGAATCTATAATATTAAAATATCCAAGCAATGAATTAGACATACGAATTAAATTTAACCCTTATAGAACTCAGATTGTGCTTGAAAAGAGTAAACTAGGTATGGAAAAGAATAGTTAGTAATAGTGAATAGTTAGTAATCTGGTTTTAGAAATGGCAGGTTTAATTAGCACAGGTTTTTTAAAATAAAAATGTGCTTATAAATAATGTTTTCATGTGTTAAATTTTTAGTATGGCTACATGTATCAACCATTATTTATTCATGAACTTTTAAAAATGCTTTATATATATTTTAAAAGACAATTACAAATCTGTTCTAATCTGGTATCAGAAAAAGATGAGAAAATGTATTTGCTTTGTAAAAAGGTTGTTGTAGTTGGAGATCAGAGTGCTGGGAAAACAAGTGTGTTGGAAATGATTGCTCAAGCACGGATATTCCCACGAGGATCTGGGGAGATGATGACACGTTCTCCAGTGAAGGTAAGGAAATGGGCCATCCAAGTACAGTGCCTCAGGAAACTCACTCCTTCAGTGAGATCTCTCCATTGCATTTCTTCAGTAAAGAGAAGCCTTTTATATAGCATTTGGAATCATTCCCATCCTAGAAATCAGTAGAAAGCACAGCCAGGAGGCCTGTGTCAGAAGCTGAGAAGTAAATGGAGAAAATGGGAGGAAACATCAGGGGTTCAGAGAGTGGCCAGGCTGTACCAAGCTATGGTATGTAAGGCCTTTGGACTTTATTCTGAGTAAAATATGCAGAGAGGCTAAGGAAGAATTATATTGGAAGTCACATTGTTGAAGGTAGATAATTTTCTGATTTTATTAAACAGCAGATAAATAGGGCAGTATTAGTTGAAATATGTTGAGTACAAAGAAGATTTAAAAGTTATTTATATGGGGGCTGGGAAGGTGGCTCAGTGGTAGAGCGCTTGCCTTGCATGCCTGAGGCCCTGGGTTCGATTCCTCAGCACCACATAAACAAAAAGAAAAAAAAAAAGCTGGAAGTGGCACTGTGGCTCAAGTGGTAGAGCTCTAGCCTTGAGCTGAAGAGCTGAGGGACAGCGCCCAGGCCCAGAGTTCAGTCCCCACGACCGGACCCAAAAAAAAAAACCAAAAAGTTATTTATATGATCATTATATAATAACCATTTTGGGGGGGGGAGGGGTCCAGTCGTGGGGCCTGAACTCTGGGCCTGGGCGCTGTCCCTCAGCTCTTCAGCTCAAGGCTAGCACTCTACCACATGAGCCACAGCACCACTTCTGGCTTTTTCTTTTTGGTTATGTGGTACTGAGGAATTGAACCCAGGGCCTCATGCAGGCAAGACAAAGAAAAAGCCAGAAGTGGCGCTGTGGCTCAAGCCAGTAGAGTGCTCGCCTTGAGCTGAAGAGCTGAGGGACAGCGCCCAGGACAAGAGTTCAGGCCCCATGACTGACAAAAGAAACAAAAACAATAGCCATTATTAAATGATTATCATGACTGCTAACTTTTATGATGATTTAGTAAAAGGGAATAATTATGGAAGAGAAGAAAACATTTTAAATACAAAGTCACTGAAATGAAGGAGGGTAGACTTACTGTATATTCTGCCTGTCCCTAAAAGCACTAACAAGTCACTAATAGTCACAGAAAGTAAAGGGCTACAGTCTTTCATTAAATAAATATTTATTACACTCAATATATAGCAGCACTCTTCTAGGCAATACATTGGTAAATTTAAAAAGATCTTGCCACAGTGGAAAATATATGCTGTAAAGATGGAAACAATCAATTGACATAAGTATTGACTGGGATAACGAAGTTGGTTCCATGAAGGTGGCTTTTGAAGCAAGATTTGCCATCTAAGGTAACTGTTTCCAAGCCAAGAAAATAACTGATACACAGTCTCTCAGGGGCTGAGAGTAATCACGGTCAGGGAATAGTAAAAAGGCTGGTATGGCTAGATAAGAGTAAGATATTAGAAGTGACCAAATCAGTAGAGAATAGATCATTAAGGCCTTGTAGGTCATTGTACAAATGGTGATTTTTACTTGGAGTAAAATGGGAAGCTAGTGCAGAAGTTCTGAGCAGAGGGAGGTAGTAATGAAATTGATAAAAAGAAGGATTATGGGATCAACCAACTTTCTTTGCCAGGTTTATTATTGAGAAAATGTATTACTCATCAAGGACCTTCTTTTTGGCCTGTACAAATTATAGAATGTCAGCTGCCTGGAGAAATCTAGTTAGATCAGGTTTGGAAATGATTGGGAGTTCAATTTTTGCTCAGGGGTAATAATAAGCAAGTTGTTAGTATACAGATTTGGAGAGAAGTCTAAACTGGAGAGTTGATCAGATATCCAAGGTCAATAATAAAAGCCATGCTCTTTCTGGATAAGCTCTCTATTTTTCCCAGTGGGTAATGAGGGCTAAAACAGGAACAGTCATCTGTTTCCCTACCTGAAATGTATAGTTCATATATTGATAAGTTCTGAATAAATGTCCTGTACCCAAATTCACCTTTGAAGTTAAGATTTTGTTTAATTTTCATGTTTTAGAATAGTGATTTTATGCTTAGCACTCCTTATATCATTGACTAGGGAAAGAAAGGGCTGCAGCCTTAGAAGATACCAAATAGACGGCAATGTTGTTAAGAAGTCACAACGTATATTCATACACTTGAACACTACAGAGCTGCCATGCAGACAGTGCTAGCGGATGCTTCTGGAGTGTGGCATGAGGGACTCTGGGGTCTTTGCAAGGCAGTAGCCAGGTCTAAACTGCGGCAGTGCTGTTATAAATATACCTGTTTTCCTCTTGTGGCAGGTAACTCTTAGTGAAGGTCCTCACCACGTGGCCTTGTTCAAAGATAGTTCTCGGGAGTTTGATCTCACCAAAGAGGAAGACGTAAGTAGAATTCATCTAAGGTTCAACTTATGTACCTTCTATAATTGTGATGAGCTTATAAAACAATTAAATGGAACATGTGTGAACTGAGATTTTCTTAAGATTTTTCTTCTTTCCTATAAATAGCTTGCAGCATTAAGACATGAAATAGAACTCCGAATGAGGAAAAATGTGAAAGAAGGTTGTACTGTGAGCCCTGAGGTAAGGACTTTCATTTCATCAGTATTTTAGGAAAAGTTAATGTTTATGGTTTCAAAGAAATCCTGGTATTGATACTGTTGTTTAGATTGCAGCTGTTCTAAGATAGATTTTTTTAATGTTTTAAAATAGCATATTATTTTGTGAGTAATGCTTTAGAATAATCACTCGGGATAAGAAAAAAAATAGATTTATGAGTGCAATATCTGAATAAATGAGATGCAGAATTTCCAGGGTATGTAGTATCAAAAATTCTTAATAAACATTAATTAGGTATATTTTTGTCTTCCTGAAATAGACTATATCCTTAAATGTAAAAGGTCCTGGACTACAGAGAATGGTGCTTGTTGATTTACCAGGTGTAATTAATGTAAGTGTATACAAAACATGAATATTTATTATTCCTGTTGTGAATAACACTTATAATGACATGTAAAACCCTTTTCTTCAAGACTGTGACATCAGGCATGGCTCCTGACACCAAGGAAACTATTTTCAGTATCAGCAAAGCTTACATGCAGAACCCTAATGCCATCATCCTGTGCATTCAAGGTAAATCTACCAAAAGATTTTAATTACACTGATGAGCTTTCTTCTTCAGCAATCTAAGCTTTGCTCTATATAATGCATGCTATATAAAAAGGCAAGACTTCTCTCTATTTTATTAGTAAATAACATGGAAGTTGAGGGTATTTTGATGATTTTCACTATGGAAATTATTTGTTATTGGGGAGAATTTTCTGTCTTTAAGTAAAAGTATTAAAAAGTTTCTAGGTATAATATACACATAAAGGTACAGTGTGTCTAAGTTAAAACCTACTCTACAATTATTGCAGTGTCATTCTTCATTTTTTTCCAGATGGATCTGTGGATGCAGAACGCAGTATTGTTACAGACTTGGTCAGTCAAATGGATCCTCATGGAAGAAGAACCATATTTGTTTTGACCAAAGTAGACCTGGCAGAGAAAAATGTAGCTAGTCCAAACAGGGTGAGGACAAGTTCTTGATTATGAGAAAAGATACTTTGTACAAGTTCCAGCTGTGATAGAGATTATTTGAACACACATACATGCACACAATTTTGTGGACTACTTTGTGAAAAGATATTGTTTCTATCTCACACCTATAATCCTAGCTACTCAGAGGCTGAGATTTGAGGATTACAATTCAAAACAAGCCCAGATAGAAAAGTCATTGAGATTAATAACCCAGCCCAAACTGGAGGTATGGCTCACACATTAGAGTGCCAGCCTTGACTGAAAAAGCTAAGCTGAGAGCATGAGGCCCTGAGTTCAAGCCTTAGCACCACCACAACATTTAATAAAATAAAATAAAATAGTAGAAGTATTTTTCTTAGTTTTCTAATACTTTGCTTAAAAACAAAGTGTTAGGAAGTTATAGTAAAATACTTAAGTGCAGTTTGGGGATGCAAGCAAAATTCCATGCTTGTAGTTAATTTACTTCCAGAATACTTAAATTGCAAGTGCTACTTACTCTTATTTAAATTATTATGTATATTAACATATTGTCATTAACTTTATCCCCTCCCTTTTCTTTTGTTCTTTTTTCTTCTTCTTTACTTGGTATCATGAGTTAGGAAAAGTATATGTTTATTTTTTACTTTATATATAACATATTATGCAGATAAACATTATCTTCCCTAATATATGAAGACTATATAGCAGATTCTTATTGTACAAAAGGCATTGAATTAATGAAGCCGCTGCATTCCTGACTATGCTCTTGAACATTTTTCTAAAACCAGGCAATACTAAATTCAACACATTGTTTAGTTTGACTAGATTAGATCTACAGTCCTTTTCATTTCTAAAATTTGGAGATTTCTGTACCCAATAGTCCGTGGTATAATCTTACTATTTATACTTTAATATATTTTTCAGTATAGTAAAATTAAATGCGTTTTCTCTCAAATTGTGATTTTGTATTTAAGTGCTTTTTTACAGACTTGTATATTTTAATAAACGTATATATAGCATCATTAAATTATTTTAGTTTCTAAACTATACATTATGTAATAAGTATATAAATATTATTTGCAATGTGTGTAAACTCATAATCACACTTATTTTTCCTCCTTTTTAAAACAGATTCAACAGATAATTGAAGGCAAACTCTTCCCAATGAAAGCTCTGGGTTATTTTGCTGTTGTAACAGGAAAAGGTATGTTAAATAATGGTTATTATAATTTAGGGGTATTTATTTATTTTAGTTTTTTAAATTTTTACGCAATAATAATGTTTGGTGAAAAGTCTCTGTTTTTCCCTAGGAAACAGCTCTGAAAGCATTGAAGCCATTAGAGAATATGAAGAAGAATTTTTTCAGAATTCGAAACTTCTCAAGTAGGTGATTATTAAAATACTGAAATGTTTTACAGCAAGAATGTAGATGAAATTGGATTAGTTTTCTGTTAAAGTTTGTGTTTTGTAACTGTTAATATTATTAATAGGCTGTTTTCTCTATATGTAACTAAGGAAGTTCTTCTAAGCTACTCGGGCAGATTGGGAGAAGTTTATCATGCAAAGCAGATATTGTCAAGACACTGAGATAAGATTCACACTTCTTAGATCATTTTACATTAGAAAGTGATTTTTAAAATTAACTTTTTTTCCCCCATGATACTGGGATTTGAACTCAGCCTTTTTCTTGCTAGGCAAACACTTTAGCACTTGAACCATTATTTCAACCCTTTAAACAAAAACATTGTTCATATATGAACATACATCTCATATTTTGCCCAGGGCTAAACTCAAACCAAGATACCTGTGTCTCTCAAGTGGTGGGATTACAGATGTTTGCCATTACACTTGGCTTGTTTGAAATAGGGATTTCCTAGTGTTTTGCCTAGGCTAAGCTAAAACTGTGACCTTGCTGGTCAGCACCTCTAAGCAGCTAGGGTTTATAGGCATGTGCCATCACAGCCAGCATTGACATTTTCTTTTTTAAGTATGTACAGTATACATATCTCAAAATATTAAAAGATGTTGTAATATCTCTCCCTAGATAGGTATTAACAGAAGATACTGATCAAAAATCTAAACAGAGGAACTAATAAAAAGGCAGCTGAATGATACTAGAACTTTGTCTGTAGAGTTTCCAGAAGTAGAAAAGTATGTCTGCCTCTAGATTAGTGTATAAGCCAAAACAGTTCCTGCAACCATCACCAGGAGAATTTCTATTGGAAAGGAGCTGACTGGCATATAGAACTATGCTTTCCACTACACTACTCACTAGTCCTGTGTGATTATTGAAGCTTAAACTGGCTTACTCATAAAACTTTAGAACTCTAGTCCCTCAGTCACACTGGCTATGTTTTTCAGGGGCCCAGTAACCCATGTATCTAGTAATTAATTTTGTGAACTACTCTGACATTGAAGATTTTCTCCACCTCAGAAAGCTTTGTTGACAGGATTGGTATAGAAAATATAGGTGGCACCTCCTACAAAGGCGTGTCTTTTGTTCCCTGTCATTGGACACGTAAGAATTGGAGGCAAAGAAATGTGAATTTGGAGAAATCTAGGGCCAGCTTGCTCTCCGCAGGCTCAAGATCAACCATACTACATAGAAAAAAAAAAAAAAGAAAATATAGATGGCTATACCATGTGCTTCTCTAACCTGGTGACCCTTTGTCATTTTAGTAAATTTCAGCTTTTGGGGTTTTTTTGTTTTTTTTTTTTTTAGAACAAGCATGCTCAAGGCACACCAAGTGACCACAAGAAATTTAAGCCTTGCTGTGTCTGACTGCTTTTGGAAAATGGTACGAGAGTCAGTTGAACAACAGGCTGATAGTTTTAAAGGTAATTTGGGTTATTCAAATGATCAAACAAATGTAGGCATTGTCTTTAGCTTCCATCAGGTTTTTCAAAGAATTACCTAGTAGATTATTTGCTACTAGAAGGTATGTAAAAAATGCAACCCTTCCATTGTTGGATAGGAACCAGATTTCCCTTTCGAGAAGACATTGCTAACAGTGTATTGCAGAGTTCAATCAGGTCAGAAAGTTTTTCCTAGTGTGTGAGAGAAAAGCATGGTAAACAAGAGAGCTTGTATCCCCCTTTATAGGAAGACTAGTGGAAACAGTTTAGGAAGTAAAGCAGCTTGTGCTTCAGCTGCTTGTCTCCTAAATCCCATTCTTTGCTAGTCCATATCTTTGCTTCCATAGTGGGAATACTTTCTGCCTTCCCATTTGTAAGAATTACTTTATTCCATTTTACAGAAAAGAAAACCAAGGGGCACAGTAACTTTCACAGCCAGCATCATACAGCACTGAGAGTCAGGACTGAGTCTCAGGTGTGTGATTCTTGAGTCCATTCTCCTAGTAGCTTTACTAGAAGGCTACAGTTGGGTGGGGACTTGTGCTCTGTACATGGAGAAGTGAGAACTGAGGAGAATAGTTGAGATAGTTGTCCTGACAGTGAAATCTGAGGTGTCAAGAGTCTAGGGTACTGAAGCACCTAGACACGATCTAGAAATCCAGCTAATACAGAAACAGGGCAAGATAGCCTTTAACCACTACACCTGGAAAGGAACAGTCATGAAACCTGAATATTTTCCTTCTTCCCCAGCAACACGTTTTAACCTTGAGACGGAGTGGAAGAATAACTACCCTCGCCTGCGAGAGCTTGACCGGGTAATATTTGGTACCTCATGTATTTTGTGTAATATCTTAATGTACTGTGTTCTAACAAAGTTGGTGTTGTTGAGAGAAATTTGGGGAACTAAATTGCTTAGGTTTTGACCATAACTACTTATAAGTAGTTATCGCTTCTGCAACAGTTTATTTATTATGTAAAGTAAATAAAAATTATAAAATGTACCAGGCACCTGTGGCTCATGCCAGTAATCCTAGCTACTCAGGAGGCTGAGATCTGAGGATTGCAGTTCAAAGCCAGCCTTGGCAGGAAAGTCCATGAGACTCTTATCTTCAATAAACCACTCAGAAAACTGGAAGTAGGGCTGTGGTTCAAGTGGTAGAGCACTAGCCTTGAGCTGAAATGCTAAGGGACAGCACCCAGGCCCAAAGTTCAAACCCCACAACTGACCAAAAAAAAAAATCATAAAATGTCAAAACAAATGTTCAAAATGTTTTCTAAGGGCTGGAATTGTGACTGAAGTAGGAGAATGCCTGCCTGTCAAGTGCAAAGTTCCGAGTTCACACCCTAGTACCACCAAAAGAAAAAGTTTTCTGATATTAAAAATATTGTTAATGGCCATAGGGAATGGTCTTATGAAGAGTCTGCAGGATTTGAAGTATTCTTCTTACTTATTGATTGAATTGAATTAATCTCAAATAGACCCTTCAGTTCTACTTGAGAACAGATTTAAATTTTTGTTTCAGGTTTTGATCTTTAGAAATATTAAGAATGCATACAAAATTTCATCTCTAACAAATTGATCTCTAACAAAGGAACAAAATATTGTTTCTTCAAACTATAATAATAGACTTAAAGGTTTAGTAATATAATGATTGCTTATTGGTTAATATGCTTCCAGAAATAGACCGTAGTTATGTTAATGTCCATGTAATGTTAGAAGTGAAAGAATTGATAATATCATAGCTTATGGTCTACCTCAAACTATTAGACATATTTTGTGTGTGTGCATGTGTGTGTATGTGTGTGTGTGTGTGATGTTTTGGAATTTATGTATCAATGCTACTTTTCAAGTAAAAACATATATTCTTAATTTAGTGCAAGCTAAATTTTTTCCATGTTTTTAAAATGTCATTACTTACAGAATTCATCGGTAACACACCATTACTAAATTAGCACATGTTGGTGCTTTCATATAGCATCTATTATGTAGAAATTTCATATGAGCAAAGTTAGGTGAGAAACAGCATTCAGAATTGAGTAAAAGTCTCTATCAGTCACTGTGTCCTTTGGACTGTGACATTACTGAAGAGACTGGAATAAAAGAGAATTTTTGCTCATCCTGCATATTTAAACCTAAATTCAATCTGCCAGCTTGTCCAACCCTTCCTTTTGGTTATCTGAAAATCAAGACAGGACAAATTCATTATCTTGTGTAAATTTTACTTTCATTTCTGTTGCCTAGAATGAACTGTTCGAAAAGGCTAAAAATGAGATCCTTGATGAAGTTATCAGTCTGAGCCAGGTTACACCGAAACATTGGTGAGTATTGATTTTGCCTTTCAACAGTTATACTTTATGACTTACATTGAAGCACAGTGATTTATTATTGCCTTGACTTATCTTAAAAGTAGTTAAGAAAATTAACGTGCTTTTCTTAACAAAAAAAAAATGCTATTGACATCTAATCAATAGAATTTCTGGAAAAGAGTTTTCTTCATGTTTTTATAAAGTCTGGATTCATCTTTGGATTTTCTTCACTTTTTACTTAGAATGCATATTTATGATTTCTATAAATCCTTTAGGCAAATTTTTCAAAAAATGCGCTTCAGATAAATTATGAACAGTTTTTTTTGGTTTTGTTTTTCTTTTCTTTTTCTTTTTATTTTTTTATCGTGAAAATACCGTGTTATAAACAGTTTTTGTTGTTAAAGAAAATTGGTTTATAAAAGGAATTCAGCTATATTTTAGAGTAATAATAGTTGCTGTTTTCTGTAACACATGGACAATATGTTATCCACAAGTCACATTTTTAATTGAATCCTATATGAGACTTAAGATAGGAAGCAAATGTATCCTTTTGTGAAATTTTTATAAATAAATCCCCTAAGGAAAATTATTGCCTTCAGTTTGTTTTATGTGAATTTGGATATCTTTAAATTTATTGGAACGAGTCATTATAAACAAGTAAACTAAGCATGGTAGCACAACCCTAAAATCCCAGCACTCAGGCAATGGAGACAGGAAGATGATAAGTTCCAGGGCACCCTGGGCCCCATATCAACTTCATGATATTCTGTGATGCTGTAAATACCATGCCTGGAATGAATGAATGAATGAACAAATATTCTATGTCCTTCAAACAAGCTGTATATAAATAACCTTGAAATATTTGCAATCATATTTTATTTAACAAATTCCTTATGCCTAAATTATCTAACAAAATTTGTAGTATTATTAAGAATTTATTGTTTTTAGAGAACTGTCCTTTGCACCATCGATGTTATTTGTAGTGCCCAAGTGCTAATTACAAGTTATCACTACAAAATCAAGACATTCATTTGAATTAATTTTCCCGTCTCAGTGCCTTTTCTTCCTCAGTCATGATATCTATTTTTTCTTTAAGTCATCAGTATTTGCCCATTTTTAATCTTTCCTTACCCAAAAGAAAGATCTGATTTTACCTCCAACTTAATGGTTGGTTGATTAATTAAATGAGTTTGTAAAACAACTTATGTTTATTTTTGTTTTATGTTTATGTTTGTTTATGTTTGTAGTGTAAGTCAATTCAATAGCTTTGTGTAAATCAGTTCATTTTTGAAGTTACAAGAGACAAACAAAGACATAAGTTGTATGTGTTTGTGTGTGTGGTATTAGTTGCCATGCTAGGAGATATACATAAAAGTGATTTATAAATTATTGCTAATGAGCTGAAGATGTAACTCAGAAATAGAATACCTGCTTAGCATATATAACTATGCATTTTTTATCTCAGAACAACAAAAGGAAAAAAACTAAATAATAATGCTATTTATGGTAGGAAAGATGCAAAATAGTGCCTGACTTGTGAATATTTACTAATACTAGGAAAACAAGCACAGGAGAAGGTGCTTATAATTATTAATTACTAGAGGTGTACAGACCATAATGAGACACCATTGTAAATCTACTAGAATAGCTAAAAGTTAACATTGATCCTGTCAAATGTTAGCAAGAATATAGAGCATCAAAAACTCTCATTCTCTTCTAATGGGAATGTAAAATGATATAACTATTTTGGAAAGCAGTCTTTTTTTGGTATCTTAAGAAGTTAAACACAAACTGATTTGTTGAATTAAGACCCTTTGTACAACTACTTAAAGATAATTTTTAAAGACATTGTTCAAAAATAAATATACTCATTACCAAATTTAAGTAAAAGTCGTTAAACACATAATTGTCACGTGATCCAGCCATTCCACTCCTACATATCCCAAGAGGAATGAAAACATGTATCCATATAAAGGTTTGTGAATTTATATGCCCGTAGTTGCATCATGTGTAATAGCTGACAGCTGAAAATAGCACGTGTCCATCAACAGGTGGATAGATATGCTAATTCATCAATGGACTATTAAGCAATTAAAAAGTGAATATTAATACACATGACACCATGAATTTCAGAGTAATTGTGTTGAGTAAAAGAATATCAACGGTACATGTTATATGATTGCATTATGTGAAATGCTAGAAAATTCAAATTATAGTGGTAGCAAATTGAGTACAACTTCAAAGGATAATGAATATGTTATCTTGATTGATGTGATTCACAGATGCCACACACTTGTCCAAAATTATCAATACTTTATGTATAATTTATTAATAAGTGATACATCAGTGAAGCCATTTTTAATTTTTTAATATTTACACCTTATGTTCTTGAAACTTCATTTCAGGGAAGAAATCCTTCAGCAGACCTTGTGGGAAAGAGTATCAACTCACGTGATTGAAAACATCTATCTTCCGGCTGCACAAACCATGAATTCGGGGACTTTTAATACTACAGTGGATATCAAGCTTAAACAGTGGACTGACAAACAGCTTCCTAATAAAGCAGTAGAGGTTAGGCTATAATTTAATTAAATGGGTAAGAAGCACTATGTGAAAGGAGTAGGAGCTGTGAATTTTAGATTTTATTCTATCACAGCCTCTGTCTTTCATTTTAGCCTTTTGACCTCATTGATGCTTTAGCTCTTCATCTGTTTGGAATTAACCTTACTATTGTTAGCATTTATTACTGTTACAGGATTTTGCTAATTGTGACGGTATTGCCTCCAGGCACTGGTTCTTTTTCCAAAGATGCCATTTAACAAAACTAGCAAAATTTGCTTGAGTGTGAAATGTATTAAACTTCTGGATTGAGATTCTGTGAGGAAAATATTTGACAGATCAAAACACTTTATTAATTTTCTGTAGGACTCAGTTATACCTACATAATCATTAAGATTTTGCCAGACTTCATTTTTGTTACCCAGGTATCTTGGCTTTCCATTAAAAACTGTGATTAACCTTCCTGTTTGCTCATTTGACAGTGTTGCCTACCTCACAGGGCTGTTGTAAGGATTAAGTGAGTTAATATATGTGAAATTTTTCGATAATACCTAGCCCATAGTGGACTACCCCAGAAAAGCAGCTATTGTTGTATGGTCATCATCATTGTCCTACACATTACTCTATGAAAGTAGTTCTACTAGCTGAGAGTCATTGTATCTTGTGTTCTGCATGAGGTTGGCTCACAGAATTGGAATCAGAGCCCTAAAAGTACTGTTGTCATTCTTTCCTTAGAAATAGTGTGTTGTCAGTGTCTAAATACTAAGGTGTACTTTACATTTTTCTGTCCCTCAGCATTTACCCCTCAAAAAAACTGGAGGAGTACTAACTGCCATCATGTCACTAGTTCTTATTACGGTCGTTAGCAGCCTGTCCCATGATAAGTTTTTGTAACCTAAGCTTCAAACAGTATCATAAAAATGGTAATGGTTCTGTCTCCTGCCACTGTATGCCCTCCCTCCAGCATTGGTTGATTAAAAAGAGCCTGGACCTGGTGAGGCTCAGGAAGCACCCTGCCACTCTGTCTTTTGGACCTATCCTTATTGCATAATGTCTTCGTGTTTAATCAGAACAGGGAAAATACATAATCCAGCATTTAAAGGCCCACTTAATCAAAGTAAATCTAATTCTTTTGGCCTGTGTTCTACCTTTCACTATTTAAAGAAGTAGATGTTAGCTATTATACAAGCATATAACTAATTAATATTCGGATGTGCTTGAAAATACTAGTGCACTGTTTATTATTTGGCTTAAAGACAAAAATGTAGAAATGATTGACTCAATAACTAAGAAATTTAGGGTTATGGAAGTCAATACATGAACTAAAGATCTAAAAATAGTTTCCTGTGAGAGTGCAGGTATACTGTTTTCAAATTGTTCAAAAGAGCTGGAGATGTAGATATTTATAAGAAGTCTCAAGTTTTGAATGTTGTTAGCCAAGTTTTTGAAAATTGAGCACATTGTGCTAAAATGTGTAAAACAGTAAGTTTATATTTGCTACCTTTTTTATGAATGTGTTTCATGTGTGTTTTCAGATAAACTGACTTGTCAGTTATCTATTTGGCTTGAATTTGCATTATTTTTTAGGCTATATAATAAATAAAAAATATTTCTTTTAAACAATACTAGGTTGCTTGGGAGACCCTACAAGAAGAATTTTCCCGCTTCATGACAGAACCCAAAGGAAAAGAACATGATGACATATTTGACAAACTTAAAGAAGCTGTTAAAGAAGAGAGTATTAAACGCCACAAGTGGAATGACTTTGCTGAAGATAGCTTGGTATGTTGTTTGTATCATTGGGGTAGAAACAGCATTTTGGTATGAGTGCTCAAATTAACATCCTTTCATAGGAGACTATTTTTATATGAGTACTCAAATTGCATTCTTAATTCAAAATAAGGAAATGTATTCATGGGCTGTTATCTATAATCTGCTCTTTAACATTCTCTAGTCTCTTTTTTTCTTTGGTCGGTCATGGGGCTTAAACTCTGGGCCTGCGCACTGTTCCTCGGCTCTTCAGCTCAAGGCAAGCAGTCTTACCACTTGAGCCACAGCGCCACTTGCGGTTTTCTGTCGGTTTACTGGAGATGAGTCTCACAGACTTTCCTGCCCCACCTGGCTTTGAACAGTGATTCTCAGATCTCAGTCTCCTGAGTATCTAGGATTACAGGTGTGAGCCACCGGCACCCAGCTCCTTTTCTTTTTAATATTGATATTGGGACTTGAACTCAGGACCTTGTACTTGCCAGGCAGTTGCTCTAGCACTTGAGCCACATCTTTGCCCTAGATTATATTCTTAAGCAGTTGCACCAGTATAGTTGATATTAACACTCTAAGGAAACAAAGATTTCTTTTGGTTCATGGTTTCAAAGGCTCATGCTCAAGTAGCTTCATTGCTTTTAGGCCTGTGGCAAGGGCAGAAACATAGCTGGATATAATGGAGGAAAACTGCTTACCTCATTGCAGCCAGGAAGGAGGAAATGAGGGAGGGAAGAGGAGAGTAAATGGCAGGAGGAAGAAAGATAGAGCATGCACAGAGGCACACCTCTAGTGACCCACTTCCTACATCCAGGCTCAACTTCCTAATAGGCCATTTAGCTATGCACTTATCAATTTGGTTAGTTGATAATCCAGTCACCTCTCACCAGTGAGGCCTGTTCTGACTGCAAAGCTTGGCTATTGACCTCTACCACCTGATAAACTTGGGTTATATATAATATTTCCACCACATAATTAACCTTTGTTATGTACCTGTTCTATTTAGAGTCATGAATGGTACTGTTGAATGGAAGGATTTACAGTTTTCTAGAAGTGAGTGAATATCTCAACATGGGCTGCTTATAATAATAGTTTTGTTTTGAAGAAATATCTGTCCTTAAAGATTGGCTTTCCGAACCATGCCATTTTCATTCATTCACTTGAAAGTTACAAAACTTGGAAGCAATTTTCACTTGTAAATGCATAGCTGAAATTTATGATTAGCTAGACATTTACATTTGTCCTATTTTTATTGCTAACAGTGACATAATGGTTAGTATTTCTTTTTTTAAATGCTGATACATAGCTCATGTGAGAAACACAGAAGGAAAGATGATATTCATTAGTAACCCTTGGAAATCAGGGTTTGCGTTACTACATTTTATAAAGTTAAATGTATAATACAACTATTCTATTTTGCCCCCATGGTTAACTTGTTTAATTTAGGCCAGGAGAGACTCTCAGTGGTTTATTTTTGAGACAGAAAGCTGACAACCTGGCATATTGAAGGGGCTCCTGCATTGTTTTAGAGGAACATACTGTTACACTGTTTTAATCTGGCTATTATTTTAGGTATTTACTAAGATGATTAGATTGGATAAAATTACCAAAATGAAGAGACCTAGATCAACTTAGCCTTTTCTTTCCTTACCTTTCAGAGGGTTATTCAACACAATGCTTTAGAAGACCGGTCCATATCTGATAAACAACAGTGGGATGCAGCTATCTATTTCATGGAAGAGGCTCTTCAGGCTCGTCTGAAGGATAGTGAGTAGGGACAGACTCTTGAATTCTAAGCATTTACAGTGGCGAAGCAGTCATACAGTGTTAACGAACACTTATAAAAACAAAATTAACGGTTTAACTTGTTTGTTACTAAAGTAGCTGAATGTTATTTGTGGGATTTTGAGTCATTTGTTTTGTTACTACACAAAGGACTAAATTGGACATGTGCCGCTTATATGTACTTATATTCTAAAAATTTATACTTCAGAATGTTTTATTCTCTTTTAGGAATTCAATAAATAAGGGTATTTTTTACAGATTTTATATATATAATTCTTATATATGTCATATCAATCATAATTTCATTTAAACTATTTTTGCAACTATTTAGCAATTAGAAACAGTTAATGAAATAAGACTGTTATTAGTTAAATAGAGTTCTTGATGAATTAATTTTTAAAATTCTTTTCCTAGCTGAAAATGCAATTGAAAACATGATAGGTCCAGACTGGAAAAAGAGGTGGATGCACTGGAAGAATCGGACCCAAGAACAGGTAAAAACAAAGCTCTGGCCTCATAATAATATCATTTTGTTCATAATTCAAGCATTACATTATAATTTCTGAGCCAGATGTAATGGTTCAACTTGAGGGAGAAACCAAAGGACTGTGGTTTAGGCCAAAAGAAAAACTTCTTTAGACTTAATCTTGACTGATGGCTGGTGACTGTCATCCTAGTGGCATGGGGAAGCACAAGTAGGAGGATCACCGTCCAAACTAGCTCAGCCATAAAGATGAGATTCTTATCTCAAAAACCCCACTGGGGCATGGCTCAAGCAACAAAGTACCTGCTTAGCAAATTTAGAGGCCTGAATTCAAACCCCAGCACACATGCGTGCTCGCACATAAACACACACTCACGCACAATTTTTGCATTAGTCTGGATTAATTTTAAGAATTTCTAATATTTTATATTAACCCTTAATAGGTTTTTAGAATAATGAACAAGCTACATGGAACACATTTTAAAAGTGAGGTAGCTGTGTTAGTAGAAGAAAGGAGAGATAACTTTGTGATATCACTTTCTTCATTTTCCATTGCCTATTCCAGTCTGTGACCATTCATGTGTTTTCTTTATATTTTTGTTTTCATTTTAGTTATTATATAGTTAATCTATTTTTTCTAATTTCCTAACTTCTTGTTTCATACATTCTCTAAGGCATAGCATCATAAATTAGTGACTGGACTCGCACACCTATTCATCTCCATCATACAGGTGGGCTGAGAGAATGAAGTCTGTCAGAAAAAAACTAGGGAATCCATGAGAGGTTTCTAACTTTAAGACAGAAGAGTCATTGATTAGAATGAGCTGGTATAAACTACAGAAACTGGAGAGAAAAATACATCCAGCCTGCAAGATTAGTGAAGTTGGGCCTCAACAACAATCACAGAACTTGCCTGAGCAATCAGTGGTAAACATATTTTGACCTAACACACTCGGAGAGAAATAACTTCCCAATGTAAGGTTTTTTGCTCTGGAAGGTGAACATAACAAAGATTCCTTCAAGAGAAGCAAAGGGATTTGTTTTAAGGTCAGTGTAAAAGATTTGGAAGCCTAAGAGAGGAATCTGGAAACCTTCTCTCCAAAGTTTTCAGGGAAGTATTTGTAAACTTAGAGGCTTGACTGTGAACAGAAGCCACAATTTGAATATAGAGGGGAAGGATATTAGACTTCTGGGGAAATATATATATATATAATATGTATGTATGCTTCAATTTTACCTTTAAAAGATGGCCTCATGTCAGATTCACTTGGTTTAAGTTCTTTTTAGCCTTTCTGTCCATCCCACTTCCAGTTGTAACTGCTGTTCTAGATCTCATTCCTGGTGGTTACAGTGAGAAGCCAATTCTAGCAAAGCTTGAGCATATCTCCAGGACTAACATTGCAAATTTACCCTGCTGTAAAATTCCATTTGGCAGGAAGATACACTTAAGATTGTCCTGTACTAGAGTATTCCAAGCTCTAAAAACTGCTTTATGTTACTTTTTCCTTAGTGTTCTAGGAAAATTAACATTCTCATCATGTCTGAGCTGACCAGCTGCTGTGTTGTGCTAACAGGAGAGATGATGGTGAAAAGGGTGAAGCAGGCTTGGGCTAGGGCTAATTGGGGAACACCATTATCAGGGTGTTCATGCCTACTACAGATAGGATAGAGACATAGAACTATATAGTCAATTTTCTCTTCAGGAAATATTTTTGTTATAATGTTTATAATGTCAGATATCATTAATTGGTAGTTCCATTTATAAGCTGAATAGTGGCATTTAAGTGGTTTTGTTGAAGTACTTGGAATTTAGTGGTGGTATAGTTTGGAGCAAAGTGCTGTTTTAGTAACTTGTTTACAGTAATAAGTTACTTAGTTTATTTTATCCTCCAATTTTGAATTCAGGAAATAACAAGATAAATTTAATTTAACACAGTATAAGAATTTGTTTCTAGCCGGGCTCTGGTGGCTCACGCCTGTAATCCTAGCTACTCAGGAAGCTGAGATCTAAGGATCGCAGTTCAAAGCCAGCCTGGGCAGGAAAGTCCGTGAAACTCTTATCTCCAATAAACCACCAGAAAACCGGAAGTGGCACAGTAGCTCAAGTGGTAGAGTGCTAGCCTTGAGCTTAAGAGCTGAGGGACAGTGAGTGCTCAGGCCCAGAGTTCAAGCCCCACGACTGACCAAAAAAAAAAAAAGAATTTTTCTTTTTTTTTTTTTTTTTGTGAAAATACTGTACAGAGGGGTTACAATTACATGGGCAAGATAATGAGTACATTTCTTACCAAGCATTGTAGCCTCCTCTTTTGTTTCCCCTTCCCATCCTTCCCCCCACCCCCCCCCCCCGTGCCCAATCTACCCCGCTCCCCCCCTTCCCTCCTTCCCTCTCCCCCTTCCCTCCTCCCCTCCCCCTGCACCAAAGTTGTAAAGTTCATTTTCGACATAAGGACTTGTACATCTCATTGTTGCAGTGGGTCCACCTGTATCCCTATTTAAACAATTTGTTTTTCCCCTTCCCCTCCACAAATTATACCAACATTAAATACAGTGAAAGCAGGGGTTATACTGTGGGGGAGGGACATACAAAGCAACAAACAAATAATCTTATAAATGTGTTAGAAACAATCGCAAGAAAGAAAAAAAAACATTTGAGTACATATCTTGGGGTTCATTTCCCTAACATCACCATATCCGACCTTTTCTGCTTGACTCAGACATATACTAGATATTGCAAATAAGGGAAACCATGGGACCTATGTTTCTTTGGGCCTGGCTTACTTCACTTAATATAATTTTTTCCAAGTCTTTCCATTTCCTAACAAATTTCTAATATTATGTTTTCATACATAATGTTTTCAACATTAGTACAATTCCTTTTTTGTTGAGGAGACTAATGAACAATTACAGATGAGAGACTGAAAGTGAATTTAAGAATGATAGATTCCTCAGGAACAGTGTATAAAGGGTTTTTTAAAAAAACAAAAACTAGGGCTGGGAAGTTGGCTCAGTAGTAGAGCGCTTGCCTTGCATGCCTGAGGCCCTGGGTTCGATTCCTCAGCACCACATAAGCAAAAAGAAAAAAGCCAGAAGTGGTGCTGTGGCTCAAGTGGTAGAGCGCTAGCCTTGAGCTGAAGAGTTGAGGGACAGCACCCAGGCCCAGAGTTCAGGCCCCACGACCGGACCCAAAAAAAAACAAAAAACAAAAAAGCTATATTTTTGTTTTAGTTGGAAAAGAAAGGTATTGCCAGCTACAAGTCTTTTTTTTTAAATTTTTTTTTATTGTGAACATACTGTACAGAGGCGTTACAATTACATGGGCAAGATAATGAGTACATTTCTTATCAAGCATTGCAGCCTCCTCCTTTGTTTACCCTTCACATCCCTTCCCAGCCTCCACCCGTCTCCCCACCCAAACCTCCCCCCCCCCCACCACCAAAGTTGTAAAGTTCGTCTTCGACATGACAACTTGTACTTCTCATTGTTGCAACGGGTCCACCTGTATCCTTAAACGACTTGTTTTTCCCCATCTCCTCCACAAATTATACTGACATCAAATATAGTGAAAGCAGGGGTTATACTGTGGGGGGAGGGACATCCAAAGCAACAAAGAGATAATCTTATAAATGCTTTAGAAACAAATGCATGAAAGAAAAAAAAACATTTAAATGCATATCTAAGGGTTTATTTTCCTAACATCACATTATCTGACCTTTTCTGCTTGACTCATACATATACTAGATATTGCAAATAAGGGAAACCATGGGACCTATGTTTCTTTGGGCCTGGCTTACTTCACTTAATATAATTTTTTCCAAGCCTTTCCATTTCCAGGTACAAGTCTTTATAGGTATTTATAAGACATTGCCTTTTCCCATGTATTTAGAATATTTGTTCAAAAGACCCAAATTCTACCCTGAAGTTAAGAAAGAAAGTATATAGTAAAGCACCTGGTGCTATAACCTCAACCGTACAATATTATAGTAAAAGCAAAACATAATAAATTTTCCCCCTTCATTAAGACAAGTTGCTCTGCATTTGTTGGTCTCTTTCCCACATTCACCAGCCAAGATACTAAGTCCTTTCTTATTTATTATTGTAGCTAAGCTTGGGTCACCTATTGTGCATAGTGTATTTATTATAATGGGGACTCCGTTTTTACATGTGCCCAATTAGGAACCGTCTAACTGTGGTTCTTTTGAATATTTTAAAGTGTGTTCACAATGAAACCAAGAATGAACTGGAGAAGATGTTGAAGTGTAATGAGGAACATCCAGCTTACCTTGCAAGTGATGAGATAACCACCGTTCGGAAGAACCTGGAATCCCGAGGAGTGGATGTAGATCCAGGCTTGGTAATAAATATTGCTGGAAACACCACATCTGCATCTTTTAATAATTGCCTCTTAAAGTACAGTGTCACTACTCATGCATTCTTAGATATCTAGGGAATTAAATTTTACTTTGATCATGTGTACATTACTAACCGTTTTGATTATGTGAAGAGTAGGATTTTGTCCTCAGTTTTCTTAAAGGGTAACTTGTAAATGGGGAAATTAAGATTTAGAACATTGGATTTTCTTGGGCAAGTTAAACAGTTTTACTGTTTTACTTCTTTTCACGTGATTTCAGATTTTAACACAACCTAGGGCTTGCTTGTATTCATATATAGCTATTGAAACACGTTATTTAATTTGCTTTAAGTAAGTTAGAAAAAACAACATTTTTATTAAATTCTCTCACTTGGGGTTTTCTTTTTATTCATGATTAATACAAGGATAAAGATAATCTATACTGTAGGCTACATTTTTAGTGTTTATTTACAATAGCTTAAAAAATAAACTTTCTGTCTTTCTGTACTTATGTTTTCACTGCTTAGTATTTAGAATACAAAGGATTCCAAAGTTTGTTTCAATATTAGCTTAAGTGAAACCTAGTTAGAAAAGTAAATATATTAGGGAAAGCAAGCATATAAAAAATTTCAGAATAAATTATTTTAGTAAAGATGATCTGGTATGTTTCATGAGATTTTTAATTTGGATAGTATGGATTTAGTTTTTCCACAATTGTCCTAACAATATGTTGTATAGCTTGAGCATCCCTCATATGAAAATTTGGAATCTAAAATGTTAAAATCTGGCCAGGCGCCACTGGCTCACGCCTGTAATCCTAGTGACTCTGGAGGCTGAGATGTGAGGATCTCCGTTCAAAGCCAGCCTGGGGAGGAAAGTCCCTGAGACCCTTATCTCTGATAAACTACCAGAAAACCAGAAGTGGGACTGTGGCTCAAGTGGTAGCCTTGAGCTGAAGAGCTGAGGGACAGGGTCCAGGCCCAGAGTTCAAGGTCCACGACTGACCAAAAAAAAAAAAAAATTGTTTCAAAATCTGGAACTTTTCAGCTCCTACTTTCCTACTTGATGCTACATGAGGAATACTCTTCGCCTGACCTCATGTGACTGATAGAAGTCAAAATGCAGAAACACTGAAAATATTGTATGAAATTATCTTCTGGCTATGTATGTAAGGTACATGACACAGAAGTGAATTTCACGTATGGGACTGAGTCCCATTCCCAGCATCTCATTGTGTGCTTGCAGGTTTTCTAAAATCTGAAAGAATTCCAAGGTGTGAAATACATCTGGATGTAAACATTTTGAATAAGAGATACTCAACGTGTATTCAGTTTGATTATTTTTAAGCTATATGACTCTAAGGTTAATGTAATAGGAAGTATTTTCTCTTGATAAAAATAAATTTTTCTTGGGATTAAAAAAAAATTATCTAGAAGCAGCACTGGGCTCAAAGTGGTAGAACGCTAGCCCTGAGTGAAAGAGCAGGGACGGACAGTGCCCAGGCCCTGAGTTCAAGCCCCACAAATGACCAAAAAAAAAAAAAATGCCTACCAATGCTCATTTTTTTTAAGCTGTTTTCTATAGCTTTGAATATGGACTGAATACACATTTTAATTTCTATAAGCAATAAAATCAGTTTTTTTTTTTCAAGTACCACTGTTCAATGTACTTTCTAAGACTATCAGGATATTGGGCAGACAGGAGGTAAGAATTCTAGTATAATACCATGGCTTTACTGGTTATGTCACTGAGTAATTCATATCTCCTGAGCCCCACATTCTTACTGTCAAATGCTGTTGAAATTTGTTTTACTCACAACAGATAATAAGTATGATAGCACACTGACTAACCTAACAGACTAAAATAATAGTGTGATAGAAATCATACTGGTACAGTAACAGTATAATTTAATTATCAGAAAAAAGATTGTTGGGTAGATAGGCGTCTGAAACCAGCTTCTTGGTTTCAGCTGTCCTTAAAAAAGCTTGAAGCCTCCTTTTGCCTTTATTTCTTCACATTTGCCTACACAAAGATATCCCTACTTCATCTACTCTCCTAAATGATCGTTTGAATATAACAACAGTAAGATATTGCAACTGAAAAAATATAAATGAATAAAAAGGTTAAAGTAAAATAATGTTTCTGTTGCCTTTATATAGTCAATTTTATAGTAAGCTTTTGTGTACATATTTTATGTACAAATTCTCAATGTATATGATAATATGAAATTGAACATTAATTCTTTGGCTTCTGTTTCTTTTCTCTTTTTATTTATTTTGTCACTTTTTAGATTAAGGATACTTGGCATCAAGTTTATAGAAGACATTTCTTAAAAACAGCTCTACACCACTGTAACCTTTGTCGGAGAGGTTTTTATTACTACCAAAGGCATTTCATAGATTCTGAGGTAAGGCTTCCCCAAAACAAAAGGAAATGTTTTTTAGCAATGGTTGTATAGAGATTTTTAAAAGCAAGCCTTAGCTGTAGTATTAATATTAAGCCATTTGCTCAATTGTAAAACAAATACATGTAATTTAAAAAGGAAACTTAACTCGTTTCTCTTCAAAGGAATTTGCCACTTTAGGGTAAAAACCTTTGTTAACATTTTTACACTTGTCTATTCAACTTTTTCTGTACATGGGGAGAGTGTACATATGTTGATAACATAATCATCTATTTGCTGAATGGAAACCCTACTGAGAAATTCCCATGTGTCATAATTCCATCTTTTTTTTGGGGGGGGGGGGGTGCGATCCAGTCGTGGCGCCTGAACTCTGGGCCTGGGCGCTGTCCCTTAGCTCTTCAGCAAGGCTAGCGCTCTACCACTTAAGCCACAGCGCCACTTCCGGCTTATTTCTTTTTTTTATGTGGTGCTGAGGAATCGAACCCAGGGCCTCATGCATGCAAGGCAAGCGCTCTACCACTGAGCCACCTTCCCAGCCCCATAATTCCATCTTTGTGGCACTAAAATCCTGTTTTAAATTATTATAAACTTCTTTACAGTTTGTTGTATTTCATAAAAACAACCTCTAGGTGGCAGCAGACTGATGTATTTTGAGAATTTTCATGCAAATACTTAGTAAGCCAGACCCAAAGAAGTACAGGTCCCATGGTTTTCCTGATTTGCAATAACTAGTACATGTCTAGGATAATTTTATCAGATGAGCAGAAAAGTTCAAAAGCTATATACAAATAACCATTTAAGATGATGCTAAATGAAATGAACCTCCAAATATGGACACAAGAGGCTTTTCTTTGTTGTTGTTGTTTTTAATGTACTATGTGATTTTTTTTTCTTGTTTCTTTTGTATGTTCTTCTCCCTACGGTATATTCTCTGTTGTCTCTGTATTTGATTTTGGTACCCTGCATCTTGTATATAAATTTATCTAATTTGGGGACAGGAAGGGGAATAACGAAATGCTGAAACTAGGACACAAGATCACTTATTGCAACAAAGAATAATACTCACAAGACACTATGTTGGAAATTATTTTTACAGCTTCAAGGGGGAGAAGTGGAAGAAGTGAGGAGGGAAGGGATAGTAGGAAAAAAACAAATGAGGTAACAATGTTCAACAAGAAATGTATTCATTACCTTACTCATGTAACTAACCCCTCTGAACGGCATCTTTACAGTGAAAATTTTAAAAAAGCTCTATTAAACCAGGCACTAGTGGCTCAAGCCTGTAATCCTAGCTACTCAGGAGGCTGAGATCTGAGGATCACAGTTCAAAGCCAGTCCAGGCAGGAAAGTCTTTAAGACTCTTATCTCCAATTAACCACCTAAAATACGAAAATAGAACTGTGGCTCAGAGTGGTAAAAGCCTTGAGTAAAATACCTCAGGAACAGTGCCCATGTCCTGAGTTCAAGCCCTACCACCAGCCAAAAAACAAAACAAAACAGAAAAAGCTCTAATAATCAGTAGTTTTATAAGTTGAAAATGTTTATATTTTTTCAGCAACTTAAAAGAAGTTTGTATTTAAATACATAAAGGTGGCAAGCTTCTTTCATATCTTTTAATTGTTAAGACCTTCCTCTACAAAAGAAGCTGATTTTTAAAATAAATAATACCCAGTTGAATTTTTTTTTTTTTTTTTTTGTTGGTCGTGGGGCTTGAACTCTGGGCCTGGGCGCTGTCCCTCAGCTCTTCAGCTCAAGGCGAGCGCTCTACCACTTGAGCTACAGCTCCACTTCCGGTTTTCTGGTGGTTTATTGGAGATAGGAGTCTCACGGTCTTTCCTGCCCGGGCTGGCTTTGAACCGCGATCCTCAGATCTCAGCCTCCTGAGTAGCTAGGATTACAGGCGTGAGCCACCAGCACCCGGCTCCCAGTTGAATTTTTTAAATGATAGTTCACAAAGAAAAGAGGTTAGCCTGAATATATTGAAGATAAATTTGGGTATATTTAAGATAAAGATAGGTGTTATCTAACTGTAAGTTGCAAGTATATTCTATGAATTTCTACTTGTATATAAATAATGAAATTCTGCCCTTCCTAAGTCCATGTACATCAGTGTTGAAACAAAGCTTTATAGTTGTAGGAGAGATAACCCACCCACTCCCAAATCAGAAGTTAGGATGAATCTGTGTATTTTATATCTACAGTAAGAGGTATATATTAAATTTGAGTATTTTTTAAATTAAAGTTTAGGAGTACTGACTTTGAAAATTACAAACAGTACACAATCATGTTTTTTATTTTAAATTTGCATCTGATCATCTTTATTTCAGCTGGAATGCAATGATGTGATTTTATTTTGGCGAATACAACGCATGCTTGCTATCACTGCAAATACTTTACGGCAACAACTTACAAATACTGAAGGTAAGCCATATGGAGACCATTTTCTAGTTTTCGCTTTTCTTTTTCTTTTTCTTTTTGTACCTGTACTGGAATGTGAACTAATAGCTTCTCACTCTACTCAACTGGTGATTTACTATTTAAGCCATGTCTCCAGTAGTTTAATTAGCTGGTAAGTTGGGGATAGAACTCTTAGGGACCTTTCTACCAAGGCTGGCTTTAAACCTCTTATCTCAGCCTCCTTGAGCCACTGATAACTGACTGATTTTGACATTTTTAATAAAAGTTTGCTAATATACTTCCATAAAATAGATTTGTTAGAGATTTGAAGTTTTTTTAAAAGGAGGATAAGATCTGAACAAAGGGCCTTGAACTTGTTAGGCAGGAATTCTACCACTTGATCTACTTCTCTAGCACTTGGAAAAGAAATTACAATTGAAAATGACGGGTAATAAGACATGCCAGTGTCTGCCTTCATTACATAAAAATTCTAAAAGGAAGGGGCTCCTAAGCATCACTCAGTTTGGAAGAAATCTGCATTTCTACTACAATGATATGGCTTAAGAATGTATTGTTTTCTAGGAAGATGTATACATTGCACACTGATAAAAGTGTTGGAGAATGGTGGACATTTTCTCTGTAACTAAGAAATACAAATTTAAGAATGGAACAGAATGATTATAAATAGCTTGCTTTCCATATATAGTTAATTTTACCATTTTGTGCAATCATAAAAACGTTTCTCAAGGTTTTTTTAATTTGTTTATTGTAAACAGTTAGGCGATTAGAGAAAAATGTTAAAGAGGTATTGGAAGATTTTGCTGAAGACGCAGACAAGAAAGTTAAGTTACTTACTGGCAAACGAGTCCAACTGGCTGAAGACCTCAGTGAGTAGTTCCTCCTTCCCTATTGCCTATTTGCCTTCGCATTTCCCCTTATTCATCCAGTTATATCCAAATCTAAGAAAAGTTCATATATCTACCAGGAACTCATTTTTTACCTCTAAATGGCTGGAGTAAGACACCATCCCAAAGACACGTCACTTCCAAGTGCTTTAATGTGTATTTCCTAGAAATAAGATTTTTCTCCTAGCAGCTACCACAGTCAGGATATCAACAATGACATGTTACTGTATTTAATTCTTAGACCCTAGTCAGGTTTTACCTGTTGTTCCAACTTAGTGCTCCCATAACAAAATGTTCCAGGCTCATTCTGTAATCCAAATTCCTTCCTGGAATTTTGAAACCAGGATCTGAAAATTAGATATGCTTGTTGTTATTGAAATATGTATCGCAGTTCACAATTCCCAGGCCTTCTCTATGGTGTTAGGATAAAAGGTATGTGTGTACACACAAACACACACACGTGCACACGCACACGGGTGCATGCGCGCACACACACACCTCTATTATTGGATCAGGTCACTCACACTCTGAATCCTGGCCAGGATTTAACATCTGTCATGAGCCACTATGTCTTTCCTTTCCCTCTGCACCTATACCAGCTTGGCACTAGTAATCACTGTCTCTTTATTCAGAATGAAGCTGTGTTCTTTTTTTGCTTTAAGATTAAATCACATAAGTTAGTTAGATCTTTGAAAATTCAAGGATATCAGTGAAGCATTAATATTAAATAAATACTGGTGGTCAGTACTTATGTTTTTTGCTTATAAAACAAAGTATTTGCTCTTCCATCATGTATTTAAATTTGCTATTTATGTTTTCTGATATCTAAATAAAAGTAAATGATGAACAGATAGAAGTTCTTTTAAATTCAGTTTCTATGCTGAGCTTATATTACTACAATTCAGTCACAGGAATATTTGAAGGAAACCAGACAGGAGGTTGGTATTTTGTACCTATGACTAGGCAGGGCTGTATTTTTGTCACCCACTCTTCTCATCCATTCTTCCCCTCTAGTTATCTGAGCTTTTCATTGCTTTTTCTCTCCTCTGTTCTTCTTTTAAATGGTGCTTGTTTGAAGTGCATCTCATTTTAGCTTTTATTTCCATTTCTGTCACATAAGTTTTTTCCTATCACTTTGATAATATAGGAAATTGGTGCTAACAGAAAACACGTATGTTCAAGCATGAACTGTCATTTTTCCACTGTATCATAGGCTAGAAATCTTCAAACCCTTAGCTTCTGTATTTATAAAGGGATTGTTCTTGGTGGTTCTTGGAAGAATCAGTTCATTAAGCTTTTGGAGGTCCAGATTCATAATTATGTGTTAAATCAGCACTGTCAGAGGAAAGGTGTGTCACTCTCACAATGTATGTGATTCCTTTGGAGCCCTCAGGTTATCAGTGAGTTACCTTAATTAATTTTACCAGCATATACATTCTTAAGTAATTGAAAAGAAATGCCTTTTTCCATTTTTTATAATAGAGTCTGAATAAGCATGATATTCTCCACTCCCAATGTAACTATTCAAAGAAAATGTATTACTAACTGAAATACATGCACTGTCAAGCCAAGTCTTATGTTCTCCTTGTGCTTTTCCTGGGAATGTAGTCACTTGACTCAATTGAAATGATTTACTACTTTTGTACAAATAACATTGTGGTGATGCTAATGTTCCAAATAATGTCCTTCAAAGCAAAGAGTTCACCATTGACTGCTTCATCAGCCATACTAAATGAGCCAGTGGTTGAAAAAGTGTTTTCTTTGGTCTAATACTTGAGAATATGGTCATGAGTGCTTTCATCCATAAAACTTTTGAAGTTTTGCAGTCAACTTCTGTAATGTGTGAGCCAAAGCTTCTAATATGTTTTTAGCATATTCACTTAGAACATAGTATGTTGCCTCTTAGAATTTGAGGGACATGATCAAGAATCTTAACTACAATATCAAAATAGTAAAGAGTAGTATAATGTAGAGATTTAAAAATTTTTTATACATTCATGCTTTTTGCCAGTTTTAAACTTAATTGGTTTTAAATCATTCATTGCTTGGAGATTCATTGATTGTACTTTGAGGTATAAGAAATACAACATTACTCTCTGGAATTCTAGAGAAAATACACTTTCACTACTGAGATGAATCCTTGAAACTAGAGTTAAGAGAAGAAATGCAACAGAAGCCTCCTCCTTATTTCACGAGGCCTATTAGAAGAGGAGTCATGCATGGAAACCTGAATTCTTTAGAGACATGGTAGATTGCACAGCTGGAACAAGGAAAGGACAGGGGAGGACTAGAGCACCTTGGGAGTGCTTGAAGAGTGGTGGTACAGATTGCAGAAGCTTTTTGCAGCTTTTAACTGACCAAACTTGGGGTAAATGGGGAATCAAATGACAATAACATTGTGAATCGCTGAATGAACTAGGAATTATGAATTGGTGGTTATACAAATAAAAGAATAAAAAAAGTAGAATAATATAATCACACAAAATATTTCCACCGAAAATGGTAATTAAAAAAGAGAAAGAGTAACTTCATAACAGAGAAAACCTGACAATTGCCACCTTAAGTGGTCAAAGCTAAAATCAGTAATGTTTAAATCAAAACCACATGCCATGTTACAGAATATAGTGGGAAGGACCCTGTATTACTTCTAGGATAGTGTCACTAAAGATATATAACCTAAATTCAATTAAAACTTTACATAAGACAAACCCAAATTAAAGTGTCATCTACAAAATAGCTGGTTTAGCCAAGTACTGGGGCTCATGGTAGCCTGTAATCGCACTTCTTAGGGGACTGAGACCTGGAAGATTATATTTCATAGACACCTGGGGCAGAAAAGTCTTTGAGATTCCATCTCCCTAAGCAGCCATGGATACATGGCTCAAGTGGTAGAGCACCAGCTGTGAGCAAGCCAGCCTAGCAAGAATACAATGTTCAACAAGAAATTTACTCATGTAACTAACTCCTTTGAAAACAAAACAGAAAAGGAAAGAAGGAAGGAAGGGAGGAAGGAAGGGAGGAAGGAAAAGAAAAAGAATACAAGGCCCTGCTTTCGAGCCTTGGAACTGGCACTAAAAAATTAAATAAATAAGCAAATTGTCTGGAATTAAGTGTAGTAAAACCATGAAAGATAAGGACAGACTCAAGAACTATTGCAGGTTGAGAAAAATGAAAAGACATGAAAATTAAATGCAGTCTTGTCCTAGCAGGCTGTCTTTGTCTAAAGGACACTGAGGAGACAGTGAGTGAAATTTGGGAGGTGAGTTTTGCTTGTTGCTTTGTTTGGGGGAGGGAGGAGTTGCTTGATAAATTTGGATTACCTAGGAAATATATTTGTTTTCAGCTATACACAGTACATATTTGGAAGTGATATAGCATAATGACTGTTTCAGGGGGAAAATGTTCTTTGTAAATGTTCCTACTTTTCTGTATGTCTAAGATTTTTTTGTATGAAAAGATTTTTTTAAAAAGGAAGCTATTTTGGTTGTTTTGTTTTGTTGTTTGCCAGTCATGAGGCTTGAACTCATAATCTCAGTGTTCTCCCTGAGGTCTTTTGTTTGTGGCTAGTGCTCTACCACATTGAGCCACAGTACCATTTCCAGTTCTAATGGTTAATGGGAGATCAGAGTCTCTCAGACTTTTCTGCCCAGGCTGGCTTTGAACTGCAATCCTTGGATCTCAAGCTCCTGAGTCCCTAGATTATAGGCATGAGCCACCAGCACCTGGCTAACTACTTGTTTTTGTAACTAATAGATTAGGATCATGTGAGACTTAAAAACATGGTACCTGAAGATATTAAAAAGAGTTGTTACCTCATGGACGATTCGGTAAGATACAGAGCTCATCTTCCTGTATTGGCTCCTTTTTTTTTTTATATAGTCTCTCTCCACACTTAGAATGGTCTTATGTTAAAGTAGGTTCATTACAACCTTCCTGGAATTATTTTGATTTTACAATAGGATTAATTTCAAGGATTTTTTTAACAGTAATATGTTCATTTTAAGTCAGTTGGTATCATATTTGAAAGTATAGAGGGGGAAAGGAATCCTTTGAATTGTGCAGTTAATTTTGAACTATTAACAACTGAAGGATTTTTAACAGCATTAATTTAGAGTAAATATGTTGCATTCCCCATGTAACGTTTTAGTAGTATATCCAATCTGACTGCAATTCTTAAATACTATCTTTGGGGAGGAGTTATTCTTTCTATTGTCACAGATTTTATGATAGCTATCATAGGAAACAAGTAGGAGGACCAACATTTCACAGACTTGCCTTGTCATGTTTTCCCTCACTTGTGCCACTTAGGAAGCTGAGTGACAATGGCCAGTGGTGTTTCAGTTTCACAGTACAAGGTGGACTTCTACTTAATTCTTGTTCCCCAAAGCCCAGGTTAAAATTTTGTTCTCTGTGTAATCAGAGAACAGGAATTAAAAGATCATTAACAATCTTTTAGATTGCTTTTTCTAAGTAAAGACTGATTCTTTTCCTCCTTATTTTAACAATAAAATTATTTACATTTTTGTGCCATAACTTGAAATTATTAATGTGAATCAAAATTTGAGTACTTGTCATGTGCCAGGAAAATGCTTTAGATTAGGTAGATGTGAAGCCAAGATTTGAGCCTAGGTCTTTTAGTTATTGTGCCAAACTAATTTTGGAATTAGAGATAGGGGATGGGGAATCAAGCTGTTGGCAAATGTGTTTCTGCAGAATTTCCCTTTATGTCAGGATGCTTCCTGAGCTGACAGTGCCCTTCACAGGGCACGTCTGAGCCTTAGTGGCAGCCACCACCCTCATCTTTTTTTTCATCCTGTGTACTTCCTAAGATACAAAAACTTTGGAATGTAAACTTTCAAACTACATGAAAAATTTGCTAAAACATCTGAGTAAAGGAACTGTGAAGTGTATCTGAAGCCACTAATTTCCATCATATGATATTCAGCATGGTTCTAAATATGTTCTTGTCCTATCCCTTCATAATTAAGTAGTGTCGGAAGTTGGCAGAAATGCAGAGTGTTCAGTTTTGTTCATCCTTGAGTCTTAGAAAAATCTATTCCCAAAGTTGAGTCTAAAAGTCCAGCTATGACAAATACTGAAAATTTAATCACATAGGGTGACCATTAGTCTTAAGTTTAAGCTTTTCGTTGTATTAATATACTGGTAGTTTGAAATGTTTTCTAACAAGTTTCTCTATCTTCCTGTTTACCAATGAAATGTGAAAACAGTAATAAATTCCTTTACTAGGGTTACCATTGTGCAGGCTTATTGTAATGGTATAGCTTGATAGTCTTAATGCTGGTCGCAGTGTAACTAAAGAGGGTGGTAAATTAGAATTTTCCAATATCCTAAGCTTGCCCTCCTCCCACAATTAATTTGCTCTGCTGACTCCCTACGCGAGGTGGCAACAGCTGGCCTTTTTACTAGATCTCAGAGGGATTAGAGAGCAGGAATGGCAGCAGCATGCTCGGCCTCTTGCCGCTGTTGACTGTTCTTTATTGTTTGATGCCTGAGCATCTCCCAGACAGCAAGCAATTGTTACTGGAAACTTAAAGTTTGTTTCTCTTGGGGATATACAATGCTGTGGGGGCTCCTCTTTGTGTTTCTTCACGTTCCCAGCCTCTTCTTATCCTCCATCCTGTGCTTTCTCTTGGTAATTAGAAAGGAGCGAAGACACAACCTTTCAGTCTTAGTCTATATGAGATTCGGCCATAGCGCTAAAAGTTAGAAACACAGACTGCCGATGCAAAGTTCTTTTTACCATATCTCTAGTAACATAAATCATTTTATAATGATGTTTGTTCTTTGTAGTTAATATGTATTAGCACATTTTGAAATTATAACAAAAAGGGGTGTTGACAAAAAAAGAAGCAGAATGTTGTGACTGCTGTTTCCCTAGTTAATATTAACACAGGAATCCACCATACCTGCTTAAATCTGAAAAGATCCCTCCACTGACTGTAATCATGTTAAAACTTGGATAAAACAGCAGGTAGAACATCACTAAATAGACCCCTAGCTAGCCAGAATGAGTTTATTCTAATGCACTAAGAGAGGAAAAAATGTCAGTATACCCATTAATCCAATTTCCATTGGTTACTTACTGTTCCTAAACTTTTTCCATGCCCACCTCGTCTTTGAGGCTTGTTGTGAGTGCAAGTAGTAATCTTAAACTAGTGGGATTGAAAATCATGTCAAAAGAAAACATTGTGCTCAGAATTTAGCACTTAAATTTGCAGAAAAGGAATGTATGGTTCTTGCCACCAAGCATCACCACCCACCGTGAACCAGTAGTTGTTCAGTTTTACTGCAAGACAACATGTTGTCTCATTAATTGGAATAAAACTGAAATATTTTTACTTATAGCATCTGAAGATGTGTCTGTTGAAAATTTGCTAGATTGTTCAAATTCCAAGTACAGTAATATGTTCATTTTGTTTCTGTAGACTCAAATAAGATTAATTTAAAAGAGATTTAAAGAAAGAGGAGGTGGCATTGAATGTAGAGTTCCAAATACCTAATCCTGAAGGAACCACCAAAAAGGTACCCTCATAAAATACAATGAGGCGCCTGCAGAGAACCTTATTGTGTTCCAGGGCCATAGTCTCAGAACATCATGTGTGCCCCATTTGGTAGTATGTTTCTTTGCCCTCTATACTATTTTATCACTCCTAGCTACTAGCACTTCTCTAAGTAAGCCTTCCCTTTTATCTCCTGTTGGTTTTTGGTTTAGTTTACTTGAGATAGAGTGATGTTATATAACCCTGGCTGGCTTATTACTGGTGTTTCTCCTACCTTAGACTCCCTAGTGCTGAGATTACAAGCATGCCCTACCACTCCTGGCTTTCTTTTATCTATTTATTTGTTTGTTTGTTTGTTTTTGTCGGTTGTGGGGCTTGAACTCAGGGCCTGGGTGCTGTCTCTGAGCCCCACTGTAGTCTAGGCTAGAGCTCTACCACTTGAGTTACAATGCCACTTCTGGGTTTTGAGTGGTTAATTGGAGTTAAGAGTCTCACAGGACAGCATCAAGGCCCTGAGTTCAAGCCCCAGTACCAGCACAAACAAATAAACAGAAAACTCAAAAATTATTCTAATGGACAAGATTATTTGTGTTATTTATATATGATCACATGTAACAAATTTGTATGATATTATTATATAATATGATAATATGATATTTGTATCATATTATATATGATAATCTGGTTGAAATATTTTTATTGGGTTGTGAAATTTTAAAAATAATATATGAATGAAAGCACTACAGAAATGTTTTCATGTCTTGAAATCATTTATTTCTGTATTAGAAATATAGATGTTATTGTCACATTTAATTTCTTTGGTCTATGTAAATGAAAAATAGGCATGGAACAATTTGCTTTGGTACTTAGTGACAATACATTTAACTTTATATTACTTTAATTTTAAATTGCTTTTAAGGAAAGAGTGTTGAAAATTAATGATGGGTATAGCTATAAATTAAGGTACAGCTTTTTTTCAGAAAATAAAGGCATATTTCTGTTTCTCTGCAGGGGGCGGAGGGGGTCTCACAGTGACTTTTCTGCCTGAGCTGGTTTCGAACCATGATCCTCAGATCTCAGCCTCCTGAGTAGCTAGAATTACAGGCATGAGCCACTGGTACCCAGCAAGGCTTTCTTTTTTTTTTTAAATCTTACAGTTCTCTTACACTATAGAACTGCAAATCAACCAAAATAACCATTTAAAGAAAAATATTTTTGTGCCTGTAATATTTTCCTGCCTGATCTACCCTGCCAGGGATTTGGTTTAGTCATAAATTCACCACATTTTGTATGATATAATTCAATACATTCAGTGTGTGATCATGACCTTTTAGTTCAGGCTGCTCATTAATCCTCTTTGGCCTTGACTAAGAAGGGGAAGATAGGCTAACTCTTCTCCTTGTAGGACCCCTTTCTTCTGGTCTGTCTTACCAGATTCACTCGTTTACCTAGCACTGCCTTCCTCACAACTTGTAAATATTTTTCAGCTCTATAATAGATCACCACTGATCTCCTAATTTCCAATTCATTTAATTCACTAATAAAGCTTTAATAATTTCTTTATGTTTACTAAGAAGTTTTAAATTTATTCAAATGCATGTATTTAAATGCATTTGTTCTCCTTGATATTCAAGTATGTTTTGAAATGATTGTTAGTAGAAGTGTGTGTGTTAGTGTTTCCCTTCACTACAGAATAAGTTATTTCTTTTATCAGTACTTAAATCTCTTCAAGGCGTTTTTTAAAATTCTGCCTTTATCGAAGTATTTTTCAAAGTAAGGTGAAACTGATAAAGCAGCTAAGGAAGATGTAAATAATTATTTCCTCTTGAGTCTGCATAGATGAGACAAGTAGCATAAAAGAACAGAGTTGACACAAAGAATAAAGTAAGCCTTAGGAAGTCCCTTCTGGTAGAGAAGGGGTTACTTACACAAGAATTCCCTATGATGGGCCTTGGTGCTGGGTTTCCATGAGCAAATCCACACTCAAAGTGCCTTAGGAATGAGGCATATATTCTATGGCCTGAAAGTGTTACTTTTTTAAAATAATCAATTGGATAGTATTAAAAGAGTATTTTTCATAATATTATAAAGATTGATGATACTCAACACTTTGCACTTGGTTTGCAAAATGCTCTAAACTCAGTTTTTAACTGACGTAGAAGTAAAAATTTTTTAAGTTTTTCTTCAATAATCTATGGCTTGAATTTGAAATGTAACATTTTTAAATAAGTTTACTTATGTACTATTGTACAAATATTTTGGGATTTTTTCAAAAGCCCAGGGAATATACTAAAAATCTAAAGCTTGGCTGTTTTCCCTTCTTAAAAATGCTTACCCTTTTTTTATGAGAAACATAAAAATTAAATAAAATTCATTGATAAAATTTATAAAAATTAAATGAAATTCAAAGTGGTATTAAGCTTTGTTTTTCTTTTTAATTTTTATGTTTTTGTGTGTTCTCCCATTTTTAAGATGGAAAAAATTGAAACTAGTAATTAAAACTTAAATCTGATTATAAAACAATCCATTAGCCCATGTAACATTAGAGAAAATAAAATTAAGCAAAATAGTAATTTTTAAGAAGCAAGAACTCCCAAAGGATTAGTATATACATACATACGGGCATCATATGTATTAAGCCCATAACCCTTGTGAAGTAATTTCCTTTTTCTCTTTTTTAATACGGTTTTTATTGTAAAAATACTGTATAGAGGGGTTACAGTTACATCAGTTACATGAGCAAGGTAATGAGTACATTTACTATCAAGCATTTTTGGTCCTCCTGTTTTTCCTCTACTATCCCTTCCCTCCCACCTCCACACTCCCCGCACCCCTCTCCCCCTTCCCTTCACCTAAATTGTAAAGTTCATCTTCAACATAGTGTCCTGTACATCTCATTGTTACAATGGGTCAAACTATATCCCTCTTTAAGCATTTTGTTTTTTCCCTTCCCCTCCCCAAATTAGAGAAGTGTATATACAAGATGCAGGGCACCAACATCAAATTCAGTGAGAACAGGGGTTATGAACCCCAAGATAGGGACACAACTGTTTTTTTTTTTCTTTCTTGCCATTGTTTCTAATGTATTTATAATGTATCATGTGATTTTTTTGTTTCTTTGTATGTTCCTCCTCCACAGTATAACCCGTTTATCTCTTTTTGTTGTTGTTGCTATTGTTGTTGGTCATGGGGCCTGAACTCTGCGCCTTGGCACTGTCCCTCAGCTCTTCAGCTCTTCAGCTCAAGGCTAGAACTCTACCACTTAAGCCACAGCGCCACTTCTGGCTTTTTCTGCTTATGTAGTACTGAGGAATCAAACCCAGGGCTTCACTGAGCCACCTTCCCAGCCCATGAAGTACATTTCTTATAATCTTTATTATCCAGTTGGTGGGAATAATGAAGCTAACCTATATGATATGCTCTATCTTTAAAATAATAGATATTTTATCTATACAATCTCTCGATGGTTGCAATATCAAGAGACGTTGCATGGACCACATGATAATTGTTCATGGCTCCTCCTCAGTGGTTGGAATTCAAATTTAAGTCTTCTCATTCCCTGAAACTGTCTATCTTAGGTCTTGAGTGAATGAACTTTTCAAACTTGTGCAGCTCATTTTACAAAACAGATTTTTTTCTCATTCACTGTTTACCTCCTAGGTACAGAAAACCCATTTTATTTTTTTCTTAAAACAGCTTTTCAATCTATTCCCTAGCTTTAGTATGTGAGATTGAAGGAAGTTCACTATTTTTTTATACCATTTACATGTTTCCCAGCCAAGAATTTCAGTTTTGTTTGTCTCTTATAATAGCACTAATTTATACAAAAGTCATATATACAGATCAGTCTTCAGACAGAACTTTACCACGTATACTACCAGGATTTTAGTGCTCTTTTAAATATTTTTTTCTTTCCATTATCACAAAACTAGTACATATGGATTGTGGAAAAGTAGAGAATACAGTTGGCAAAGCTTAAAACAATAAATGTTATAGAGATTGCTACTGTACCCTACAGCTTAACAGTCTTGACTGTGTCCTTAGGGATATAATTTCCGCAGCACCATTTTTATGTGATGCCTTTGGGTTAACTTCCTCTTGTATCCCATGCCTTCAGCTCATTGTTAATGCTCTTTTTTCTAGCTTCCTGTCTTTTAGAGAAGGCTAGCTTTTGCTTCTATTTCTTTATATCAACTTAGTTCAAGAATACTCATTCAGAGAAACAGCAGCATTAATAAAAATAAAACTTACATTTTATTTATGGTTTATGGATGACTATAGATAACCCAGTTCATATCATTTGGTGCTTTTTTTTCTATTTGTAATATGTGCTAGTTAGAGCCCATTCTCCTAATGAAAACTATCATCAAGAACCTAGAGCAAATTTGTCTCCTGAAGATATACATATAGTTTCATTCACTAAAAAGAAAGAAAGAGAAAGAGAGGAAAGGGAAAGGGAAGGAAAGGGGAGAAAGAATAGAAAGGAGAGAAGATAGAAGAAAGAAAAGAACAAGCTGGATGCCAGTGGCTCATGCCTATAATCCCATTCAGGAGGCTGAGAGCTAAGGATGTCAGTTCAAAGCCAGCCTGGGCAGGAAGGCCCATGAGACTCATATCTCCAATTAACCACCCAAAACCAGAAGTGGTGCTGTGGCTCAAGTGGTAGAGTGTTAGCCTTGAGCTGAAGAGCTCAGGGACAGCGCCCAGGCCCAGAGTTCAAATTCCACAACTGACAAAGAAAAGAAAAGAGGAGGGGGGAGGGGGCAAACTCAGGAGCCAAGCAGTATTACCTCATGCCTCTAATCCTAGCTACCTGGAAAGCTGAGATGCTGAGATTAGGAATTCAAGCAATTCAGAATTCAGGATTCAAGGCCAGCCTGCTGAAGAAAAAAGTCCTTGAAACCCTTTGCAAGGAAGAGCTGAATATGGAGGGACACACCTGTTAACCTAACTAGGAGGAAGCCTAACAAGGGAATCTGGCCAGGAACACCCTTGAGTAGGAAGTGAAACTCTATTTCAAAAGGAACCAGCGAAAATCAGGGCTAAAGGCATGGCTCGGCCATAAGAATACCTACTTTAGAAGCATGAGGCCCTGAATTCAAACTCCAGACCACCAAAAAAAAGTAACTTGGATTTATAAATCTACATTCTCACTGCCATTTTAATTTTATGATTTTCCTTTTCTTACAGAAAAAAATGAAATTATGTTTTTATATTTAAAAGTAGTTTTTGGGGCTGGGAAGGTGGCTCAGTGGTAGAGCGCTTGCCTTGCATGCCTGAGGCCCTGGGTTCAATTCCTCAGCACCACATAAGCAAAAAGAAAAAAGCCAGAAGTGGTGCTGTGGCTCAAGTGGTAGAGCGCTAGCCTTGAGCTGAAGAGCTGAGGGACAGCGCCCAGGCCCAGAGTTCAGGCCCCACGACTGGACCCCCCAAAAAAAATAAATAAATAAAAGTAGTTTTTGAGTGGGCATCAGTGGTTCATAACTGTAATCCTAGCTACTCAGGAAGCTGAGATCTGAGGATTGCAGTTAAATGCCAACCTAGGCAGGAAATTCTATGAGACTCTTATTTCTGATTTACCACTAAAATGCCAGAAGTGGAGCTGTGGCTCAAGTGGTAGAGTGCTAACCTTGAGCATAAAGCTCAGAGACAGTGCCAGCTACTGAGTTCAAGCCCCAGAACTAGCACCAAAAAACATTTTTTTAAGTTATTTCCTTTTTTCATGAATACATAGAATCAATTCTGAAGTTATTTTCCTTTTTCTGATCCTTATTCTGACTTACTGAACCAATGTAGGTTGAGGATTCCTAATCTAGAATACTCCAAAATTAGAAACTTTGTGAGTACTGACATGATAGTCTCCTATAGATTGGATTTTAAATTTTAGATTTTTCAGATTGGTAATTAGTACCAATAGCACAGATACTCATTTGGCAAAGTCTGAACCAATATTCCAGAATCTAAAAATCTACAAAATCTGAAATATTTGTGATCTGGAGCATTTCAAATGAGATCAGATGTGTTCAAGATACTGTGATGGCAAATGTAACTATTTCAACATGTGTCTCTTATAAATAAAGGACTCTTGTTTTTAATTAATTACTTACTTTGTTTTTGTTAGTGGTTGGAATTAAATCCAGGGCCTCACAAACACTTGGCAGTCTACCACTAAGCCAAGCCCCACTGTTCCCAGACATTTCAGATGAGGGAGGCTCAATTATTGTATTAATTATTTTTTTATACTGCCTTATAACATAGTTGTGGTAAGTAACAGAACTTGCAAAATTATCCTAACAAGACATGAATGAATACGTGTTCTCCTTGTGATAACGTTTAGTAAGATTCTGCCCCCTTGCAGTTCAAGAGATGTAACTTCTTTTTCCTTTTTGCATTTATCTCAGTTTAAAATTTGCTTAAACTTG